TCTTTTGTTTAATTCTATATGTCGATAAATGGATTTTCTCAGAGGACCATATCAAGAAAAACTTACCAGGTGCTAACAACATGGCAAACACAGGGCTAGGTGTTTTATAGGCAATGTTTTATTTAATTCTCAGAAGCACTCTTTAAAGTAGAGCTTATTGGGGCCTCCCTGGTGGCACAAGGGATTAAGCACTGCACTATGAAGCTGTCCACAGATTCTGCAGTATGAATTCGATCCCTGGCCAGCCAGGGAGCAACCCATATGGTGCAGCAGACCTCTCCTGACTCGCCCGCTGCTCCCCTCAGTAGTGTACTTTGGTCAATCTGCCTGTTCTGTTCCCCACTCTGTCTCTGGTGAATCCTCTCATCCCTCCACATCTCTGGCCTGTACCCCAGCCCTTGTATGCATAAATAAATAAATCATAAAAAAATAAAATGAAGTAGAGCCTGTTGTTACTGCCATTTTAAGAAGGAGTAAATTGAAGGACAGAAAGCTTAAGATATTTGTCCAGAGTCACACAGCTAATTAGGAGCAGTGGCCAGGACTGCAAATAACTTATATGGCTTCAGACTGAGACCTTTTCTCTGCTTCCCTCAAACTCCATCTGTTGCTTGGTTACTTTACGACCACTTTCACTGTTTTGAAGTCATTCTTCACCCATTTTATGAGCATTACCAAGTCATATTTCAATTTACATCACTCTGCAAAATGGTGTCATGAATCATGGATATTTTTGCACATAAACATAATTGTCAGATAAGCTAAATTACAACCCACCAGCTTTTTAATGTTTTATTTCAGTTTTTTTTGTTTTTGTTTTTGTTTTTTTTTTTTTTTTTTTTTTGCAAAATAGCTTACATAATGAACTAGAACTGGATTCATGGTCTTTGCTCTTGGCTCATAGACATTGACCTCCACTAGGTTTGTGGCTTGAACCAGACCAAATCTATTCTTGTTTTGGAATTAAAGTTCCTAAACCAGCTCATGGAGAGAAGGGTCCCTCCAAAGATGACTATCTGACCAGTGAGAGCAAGTTATTCACTTTCTGGTGGAAGTTGTGATGGTTCAGAAGTTTTCTGAAGTGCACAATGACACTGGCTTGACTTTCCTCTCTGCCAAACTGGGGAAGCCAAGAGAGATGGCATGCTCTCAATAAACAGTTCTGCAGCTGCTGAAAAGGTCAAATGGTTTAGCAAGTTCTTGTCTAAGAACAACTCTTGGCCTCCCAGTCTATGGAATCATGCTAGATCATAAAGAAACTGCTTTAGCTGAACCCACATTTCTTGGGCAAGTAGTGCTAAGTTATTATGTGACTCTTGCCCTTCCTTGGAGGACAGAACCACTACTTGCCACTAGACTGGCATGGAAAGGAAACCCATGGTGAGATGGATTAATCTGGGCTGGCAGAAATAGATCAGGCAGTCACCAAGTTCACAAGTAATGCAAACAGCATTCTTTAAGGTTATTCTCTAGTTATCAAGGTCACTATCTCCTAGACTTTCACTTTGACGCCTACATAATACCAGCCTTTGCATTAGAATCTACAAACTATTTTTTATACCACAACTAATATAAAGGCATTCAAGCATAAGGGGTATTTTTATTTCCCTTCATGCTCCTTCTCTTTAATGTAATTTGGCTATGAAAAGAGAAAACTGCATTTAAAAAGGTGAAAGATTTATACGATCTGAAGAGAAACCAGAGTAAGAAAACTGCATTTTAACTGAACATCAAAGAGCCACTTATTTATATACTTTAACACATTTACCCCTCCACCTAACATAGATATTAGTCTTTACAAATCTACTGATTATCACCTCTAGAGGCATCTTTTGTCTGCAATGCAGGGTAAATGTCAAAAAAATTGCAACATTTGAGGTCTTCAAAATTGGATGAAATGGACAGACCAGGGTTTCTCAAACTATTTTGTGAATATGACTCCCCTGGGGAGAGAGTTGAAGTCTAGATTCTTCTCTACACTTCAAAAAGTCGGTGATGGCACTGATGCTGTAAGCTTAGAACAAGGGCACAGAAGGCAAATTCCAGAGTCGTGCAGATTTTCTCACCACTAGTATAGCCACATCACATCTAAGGGTTGCTAGGGTGATTAATGCTTGAGTGATGATTAGTTTTGTTTGCAGAGTTTTAGCATTAGCTTCATTAACTCTCATGTGATCTGAAATGGTAGCATATCCACCAGACCCACTGGAAATTCTGCTCTTGCCTGTGGTTGGTATAGCAAAACCATTATTCCAAAATTGTACATTATTTTTTAAAATAAGCAACCATTTGCTTCTTAGAAGCAGATTCCATTCCCTTCTTTCTGTGTCCTCTTTTTTTCCTTCAAATACTTCTTCCCAATAATTTCTTCCTCTGTGGATATTCCTGAAGGAAATTCCCTTATGCACCATTTTATCAGATAGATAGGATACTGATGTGTGGGCAGGTCCCAACACTGATTAATTCCTAATTTGGGATTGCCAGTCAAGTCTGATTTCTTAGTTTAAGGTTGGACCTGGGGAGGGATGGGCATGACAAGAACAAGAGGAAAGAGTTGTATTGGGAAAAATGATATTATTGCTGATATTTAGCTCTAGGGGGAATGTTTGAGCATCTTCAGTTCTTTAAAGCTGTCCAAGACAACCAGCCTTACGCATAAAGATATCAGAATATTTATTGAGGCAATTAAAATGAAATAATGGACAGGATATGTGTATTGGAATATTATATACCAGTTAAAAAGGAGGATGCCATCTATATGCAATAATTGGCATAATAAAATATCCATTATATAATTTGGAAAGCAAGGCTGGTAACAATATATATAATCCTATCAAATTCTCTGTGTGTGTGTGTGTGTATGTGTGTGTGTGTGTAGAGAAATGAAAAAATATTTTAAAGAATACATGAACAATTACCAAAAAATTGTGGACGTTTATTTTTCTGCATATATTCTCTAAATTTTCTCATAGTGTATTATTTTTAAAGTGAATAACCAACTATTTCCATTTGAGGGGAAAAACACCTACTCAGCAATTATTTATGAACCGTGACCATCTGGAGTGGTAGGAAGCACTAACAGGAGTTCTGTGAGTCATTATGTCAATGTTTAATTCCCTCCTGTATCACTTTAATTCCAACTGTGGATGAAGACTTTCAGAGATAACTAAATCCCCTTCCATAGAATAACATTTTGACCAAAATGCTCTCCTTGGATAGATGAATGGAAAGTTATTTCATACTAATTTTGATATAGTTTGTCTATTGACATAACCACCAGCTTAAGAAAAAAAGAGTAAGATCCATTTTTAAAGTTTACTGTTGTATTCTAACTCTATTGGACCGGTCAAGTACAGCAGCTAGTTTTCAAAGATATGCCAACCACAAAACACGCATCTTGTATTCACTGTGTAATTCCCTTTCAGCTTTTGTCTGGGCCTTCTGGACACTATTTCTGTGGACATCCAGCTGCTATGTAAGAACTGTGACTACCCTAAGATGTTTCCAGATCCAACCTAGTCCAGCCACTCCAGCCCAGGCATGAGACCTAAGAATGAACAAGGTCTCAACAACCCTTCCTGCAGTCACCATCTGACTACAACTGCATGAAAGATACCAAAAAGAATCACATGCTGAGCCAGTCAACACACTAGGCTGGGAGAATAGTAACCATAACTGTTGTTTGTAGCTACAAAGCTTTGGACTTTCATGTTACAGTAGAGAACCAAGGCACCAAGAAACAACCACGAAAAGCTTTTGTTATTAATCCAGAAGTCTCGCCCCATTCCCACTTTAATTCACATTTTCTTACACAGTTTTGAGTCATTTTGGGAGATGTTTAGATGGGCGAATCAGTATTGGCCAACATGAGTAGTGGAAGAAAGAAGCCATTCCACCCATGAAAAGAAAAATCCTTTTAAGCCACGATGGTATTTTAAAGTATGAAAATGAGGAATGGCTGTGGATTCTCTTCCTGTGGAAATTAAAAATAGCTGTGGAGAATGGAGGAAATAACCAGGACATAAAATCTTGTGTTTGTTTATGCCTTCTCTATATCACATGCTGCCAGCCCTCATAGAAATTTAAAACAAAATGCTTAATGCCAACAAAATTCTCACTTAAGATAGATTAAAGATTGCAGCCATCTTAACATTGTGTCAGGAGAGGACTTCAAAATGAGCATGGTTATGCACCACTTAATGACAGGATACAATCTGAGAAATGTGTTCTTAGGTGACTTTATCCTTGTGCATATCATAGTGTCATTATACAAATCTAGATGGTCTACACTTTACACCGAGGGTATCACAGGGACCATCCTTATATATGTAGTCTGGGTGGACCAAAACATCATTGTATGGTGCAGCACTGTCTCATAGACTATGTACATTGAAAAGTCATTTGAGTGATGTGTGTGGAAGTGGGGAGCCCTCTACTTTGGATTCTGCTGGCTGACATGATGTAAATCTGAGGTGAAATACTAGTGGTTCTTAAAGGAGTCGTCTACTGATGAAGCACCATCAACCGGTTTCAGCAATAAGCAAGATCAAAGTGAACGTGTACCTCCAGGTATCATCGGCAATCCACTCCAAAGGTTAACGTTAAATTCTAGCAATTATTCTCTAATATGGATACAAGTCAAACCTAGTCACCCAGTTTATGGGAAAAATCAAGGAATTCCTCATACCCAACCATGCTGACTTGTACCAACATTTTCTCTTGCCCAGAACATCTACATTGCAACACTGCCTGATGGATTTAGAACAAATTCCTACTATTACTAATATTACACATAGAATCAAGAAAAATTCAAATGACTAGTTAGCCTAACAGTTTAGCATTAGGAACACATGCAACCCCAAATGTCTTGATCTTAATCTTTTCATTTAAGCCATCTGGTCTTGTCCCCACCACAAGCCATCTGATTTTAATCTTGAAATACTGGCTTTCATACAAACTAAAATTATTACCTATAAGAATATTGAGTCTGAAGTTCACCATAGATGAAATGACTTTCTAACGAGTCTTTGAGATTGCAATTATGTTGTTTTGTTCTATTCTGTTTTGGAATGGGAGAGAAGAGAAGGGGAGAAAAGAGATGAAATAGTTCAAGCAAAACTTCAAGCCTTTTATACATAAAGAAGCCTCTCTGGCACGAGGAGTTGCCACAAAGAACTCAATGAATAAACAGAGTCATGGCAGTTTTTCAAATGTCTTTTATTGGTTGTACATTTTCTTATGAGATAAACACACCATTTCTCTCAAAGACACGTAACTCCTGAATACTTAAGTTATTTGTCCTGGCTGTGAAGATCATAGCTAGCACGTTGACAGAAAGAGGTGGTTGGGTGTCATTTGCCATGATCACTGTCTTCTCTACCTTCAAATTGTTGTTTGAGTCAGTTCATAGATTGACACAACATTGAACACAACACACACGCGGTGGAGTTTTACATACACACGCACAAATATTCAGAGACCAGTCAGTTACAGTGTCTGCAGCTTGCACCTCCTCCTCAGCAGCAGTATGAAACTGAAGAATATCCTGAGATAGGAAATCAAAGTGTCAGCTCCTCATCAGCAGAGGAGTCCAAGTGTGACTAAATCTCCCAATATCATTTTCCTTTTACGGTGGCAAAAGGGGACATGAGCGGTCACCATGGGGATTGTGTCACAACCACCTGGTTCAACACATCTCAGCCATTTCCTGGGTCAAAAACACTATGCTCTTACATCAGAAAAGAAGAGGGAGATTGTAAGGTTAGGCTTTTAACAAGATACTGTGATTGAAAATTTCATCATAGAATGACCTATAATGCAAAATTATCTCCACCTTTGGCAATTACTATAATTCCTTGTTTATTGACTGAGAGAAACCAACCCTCTAGGCTATTAAGTATGACCCACCAATGGTATTTGCATGAAAAGATAAATATCTTAAAAATAAGGACCTAGGAGAAGTGGGTCCTCCAAATGTTAACAGCAAATTCATATCACCCCTCAATTGAGTCTATATCTGAGAATGCTGTCAAACTCACCTATGTCAACCAATACTTGCACCTATTCCAAGTCTTGCTCATTAGCTACTTCCTTGGATTCAGGATTTTGAGATAACATCACCAATTATAAGCAGTAGTTCAAAAGAAAAAAAAAGCACACAACCTGGATAGCAAGAAAGCTAGGCCAAAACCAAAATGTACGTGGGTCCCCAAAGCCAACCAGAGGCTGCCTTCCTACAAAGCAGGTCACTTTAAATCTGATTCTAGAGTCTGACTGATGTTATCACTCTATATTCTAATTCCCATCCCCCATACAATGATGAGAAATGTTTTTCCCTTATGAAAACGAGGTGGCCCACACATTTCCACACAAGAAAACACAGAGCGAAGCACATATCCCCAACTACTTCTTTCCTTCTGCAGCTACAAACAAAAAGTTCCCAAACCCAGGGCTTGAATTTAACATTCACCTCAAAGGCATGGAAACATTCCACCCATATGCTTTAGAGGTCTTTATTTTATGAACTTCTAATGAATTCCATACTCTACAGGTCAGCCTGCCTCATTCATTAAAAAAAAAAAAAAAAATTGCAGTCCATGAAGAAGAGATGATTTCCACCAGGGAAAGTTAGCAGCATGCCATACAGGGCAGATGAAAGAATCAGGCGATGAGAAAATTCATAACATAGCATTCATTCTTCTATTTCAAATTCTCCGGAAATGCATTGTTGGCAATGGGCTTCAAAGAGTAGGGGTGCACCACCTCTCCGATCTCCTTTAAGAATGTTTCAGTTACCAGGAAGAGATAGATGTAGGGCCTCCTAAGTAGCACATGGAATGACTTGATTCTAACATCAAGGGATTGCAAAGACCAGTCATGTTTCACTTGCCCAACAGCTCACTTAACAATAAACATGGCTTAAAAGCAGATTTTGGGGTGCAACATAGGAAAATAGCAATCGTATATACAAATGAAAAAGGTCTATCATAAAATTCACACAATGTAAGAAAAGTGTTTTTCTTCCTCACAAAGGTCATATTAACTAAGGAGCAGCATTTTCAGCAGTGAGATTGAAGCACAAAGGGAGCTGGCAAAACCACCGATTTTACTAAAAAGTTTGTGAAGTTCAGTTCCATATAGAAGTTACATCTAGCGTCTCGTGGAGATTTCACACATTATATAGAAAACTGTCCGTGTATTTAAATAAGAAACTTGAGTGACACATCAAATGTCTCTTTCTGCTTTAAATGACTAAATGGGAGGGATATTAGAAATGTGCTCCAATTGGGTAAGTTAATTACATAAAGAAAGCATTTTTCCTCTAAAAATGGATGTGGTTTTATTAAAACATCAGTTCATCATTTCAGTTCATGGAGAAAATCACTCCACTTGGCAAATAAATTTGAGACAAAAGAATAAAACAGATAGTATGCGAGAGAAATTGCCTGGATTTCCTTAATTGAACATGCTCAGTAGCTTATACACAGAGATTGGCCAAGAACTCTACAAACTGTTTCCAGTTACAACTTTTTGACACATAAAACGTTCTAAAATGGCTGCTCTGACCGCTTCCTCCACCCCATTAAATTCTCAGAATTCACCACACACCCTAGAGATGTGTGTGTACAAGGCACCTGATACGATTCCATTGATGTCCAAGCAGCCCCTTGTCTTCAGTTCATCACAGATACACCATCGTAGTCCATGGTTTCTAAAGGCTACACCAAGTTCCCATTACTGTACTCCACCTATAACTTGCAAAACTCAGCAAAGGTAACTCAGTTAGCTTGGGTCTCATATGGTAGCCTTCTCTGTGCCAAAGGTATGCATGCAGAGTTTTACTTTTTCCTTGCAGTCAATTTTGCTTCTGCAAATGCAGAAATTTAGTAATTCCACTGCCTACCAAGAGCCCAATCACACTACTCCTCCTCACTCCTCAGTCCTCTTTCTCAACCGAGTTAGAAAAATAACCAATTTAAATATCAAGAGACATGGCCCTCTTATATTGACTTCTTCATTTTTTTCCAAATGATTCATGCATAAAAGTAGAAATAAATGGTCCTCTCTTCTTGCTCTTCAACCCCCAAGCCCAGTGAGTATGTTCATCATAGCAAAAGTCAGGGACTCACAGACAACGTTGGCTACAAAATTTGCCAGGTTCTTGGGCTATTTAGGAGTCCTTCAGTTGTCATCTTGTTCAAATTCCCAAGCCTTTAATTAAAGCTGCAGATTCACTGGTAGCCAAATATTCTGACTGGAGGTTTTAGATGGGCAAGGTTATCTACCCTTCATCACACTCTTATTGACAAGATACCCTTCCCTTATTGACAAGGGAACTCCCAGGAGTATCACTAAACATAGTGTGAAATCCACTCGGTGCATCTGACTCTTAGCTTCCCAAGTACTGAACACACCAAGACACACAGCTTGAAATCAGAAGAAAACAACTATGTCTTCCACACAATTCACTACTTCTGAAAATTCAAACTAACCTTGAGTGTCATGATTTTAAATTATAAGTTCTAGCTCTTCAGCTGAAGACCTGTAGTGTATTCCTAAGAAGATTCACAGTTCTCTGCATCATGGAAAAAGAATTCTCATCAGATAACTTTTGGTGTCCATCTTTCTTAATAATGTCTGCCTCCAGGACTAATGATTAAAGCTTGATTTTGTTTAAAGGCTTCATTTTTCTTTACCCAGAAGGTAGCTGATGGATGGGGTGCATACTCTCAAAGTGCTTGAACACCCCTCTAATAATCTGCCTTTTTTCCTGGGTTACATTATTGTAAAATGATATAAAATCAATAGCACAAGGGAAACTAGAGAAAATTTTCAGAAATCAATCAGTGCCATCTGCTGAATCTTACGTTCAATATTTTTAAGGGACAAAAACTATAAAGGCTTTTGGATGGGTTTTCTCCAGGAGATCATCTCTATAGTAACACTGAAAGTAAGTTGAGGGATATATCTGTCTGCCACCTCCTTTTATCAGCTCGCTCTTCTGTGGGGTTCCTGGTTTAATACTGTTTGTTGCATTCATCCTTTCTCCCAGCTCCCAAACATGACTTTGCACCACTGTTTAGCCTTAAACTCCAAAGTCCAATGACATTCCCCAAAGCCAGTGGCCTGACTTGCTATGCTGAAATAGCTTGATGCCTTCAATACAAATGTTAATAGGCACCAAAGGATGCAAACTTGCTCTACCACAGAAAGACTTAGGGGAACAGATACTCAACACAGCTGCTCTTTCTAAAAAGACCAAATGAAAGTTCTTATTATAAGGTCCTATATTTTAGAATCAGGTTTGGTAAAAGTTCTCTTAGATATCCCTTACATCTTTGAGATTTGAGAACAATAGAGTCCATTGAGGCAAACTAATGCAGAATTGTTGGCCTAGATCCTTTGTTCTTGAAAATGGCTGGATCAGTTCCTTTCCACTTAAACAAGAGTGTTAAGTCAGCCCAGTTCATCTCTGATGGGCAGAGGAATAAAAACAAGCAGATGCAATCAAGGAAGGCTGGGTCAAAGTCACAAACTTGAGGGATTATTTAGGTTGTCCTGATTCCCACATTAAGGTTCCATGAAGTGCCATGACTTACTCCTGCTTTACTCGAGCTCAATCTCCAAGACCTACTACCCCTAGCCTTACTCTTAAGAAAGACCCAGAATCTTGCAAATGCAAAAGTATCACCTGGGGGAAACCCATGCATGTCAAGATTAACTGCCCACAAAGAAATCTGTTGAAACTGACAACTCTAAGAAAGAAAAACAATGCAAATCTCCCAAAAATCAAATGGTAAATCCCCAAGAATGAAGAACTCAATGCCTTACTTAGGTCAGATGGCAATACAAGTGAACGTCAAGATATGGAAAGTCCCAGGCAACCAAGTTTGATATTTTTAAATTCTATTAACACATTTGTGTGACAAGGTGATAATTGGCTTCTTAAAAAATATATCCCACCCACAAATTCTTTGATCTTGCTTTATGTTTCCACTTTGGCCCAAGTCCTCTTCACCTCAGATAGGAGAGACTCTGAGAGAAATTTTGCTTGAAAAAAGGAAGATCAGGATCAGGAATTAAAAAGATAAACCTCAACTTGAGTCTTGGTTCCAAATACTCCTGCTCTGGTAGAATGGCACTTGCACAGCTGTAAACAATGACTCTCTAAACCTCAGAAAAATGACACATCTTCTTTGTAGACACCAGGAACAGGTGGTGAATGATGTATCTGGTGGCAATGTGCTTCCCCCAGAAGGATAATTTCATTTTGAAGGCTCTGGAATTCAGGTTTTGTGTCCCTAGGTGAAGAGAAAACATTCTTTTAGGTAAATTGTCAGAGCAAATACCTTCACTGTGCTCTCTTAAGGAGTTTCTGAGTGTCATTCTAAGCATAATTGATGTTTCCCTGGTGATGCTGCAGGAAGTGAAATGTCTCTGATAATGAAGAGACTATAGTTTTAAGGATGATGTGTTGTCCTGGATTGAAAAGAGATGATGTGAATAGCTGAGGTAACTGGCAGCGAGCATGTGCATCGTGTTCTACAGCACAGAGGCTGCAAGTACTAACAGAAAACAAAGCATAGTAAGTCATCGTTCTGGAAGCTTCCAGAAAGAAGAGCTTTCACTAGAACTTATGAAAGCTGGAAATTCAAGGAGGGTGACAACACAAGAAAATCACATCAGAAAGGGGGCATTTGGCACAGCCCCTTTGCAACAGAAATGTGTTGATGATTTCAGAAAAGATGAAGGTAAAGCAGCCTTCTCTCTCTTCAAGTCCAGAGATAACCCTCAATGGCAAGAACTGCCTCTTGTCACTCTAACCTGACCTAAGAACAAGTCTTTCATCACTTCTTACTTTGTAAAAAAGATGGTCAAAGAAATGAGCTGGATGGATTGGAAGATTTTAAAGAATTGCATCTACCTTCAAGTTAGGAGGCAAGGATGGCCTCCCAAATTCTCAGATCTGAACACAGTTCAGGAAAACGGAAATCCAGATGATTAATGTCTGGGCTCACGATTCTCAAAGCATGCAAATCACACCATAGAGAGAAATAATATGTGAAGCTAAGAGACAAGGATGAAGGTGAAGTCTAAAGGGAACTGTGCCTTTTATCTCCAAGTTGAAGTAAGTTATGTTAGCTTCTGCATAGAAAAGTTAAAAGTAGGCACTCAATTTAATCTGAAGAATATTGTGCCATTGGCTTCCAGAGCAAGGAATACTTACCTGAGGAAATTAAAAGGCAATATGCAATGGGACTAGAGAGTTCCCCCCCACCTTTCCAATTTCATTTTCCTATGTCCTTCTTCCTAATCCGCCTGAATAGTAGCTAGGCTAAATTAATACTCACTAAATGGAAGAACTCAGTACACATAACTCATCAATTGGCGCTTTATATTTGATGGTCTAAGACAGGTGCTTGCAGATCATGGCCTAGGGGCCAAATCCAGTTCATTTCCTGATTTTGTAAATAAAGTTTTATTGGAACACACCACAATGCCCATTCATTTACATGTTACTTATGGATGTTTTCCTGCTATGACCAAACTTGAGTAGTTGCCAACAGATAGAGTATGGAACACAAATTCAAAAACATTTACTATCTGGTCCTTTACAGATAAAGATAACCCCTGGTCTAGGATGTCACAGTATGCATTCTACAGAGCAAAGATTACTGATTCTATGGGGTCTATAAACTGCACTCCACTCTCCTCCCCCACAACAACAACAAAAATGTTTGTAAGCTCTGTGTTCCATGGACTGTGTGCCTTTTCCTAAGGAAAAGATCTCCTAGCTTCAACTGATTCCCACAGGAATCCAGGGTACCCCAGTTACAACCAACAAAAACCATCTTCAGATGACAGTATATTTAAAAGCATGCATGCACACGCACATACACACACACACACACACAAACACACTCATGCCCCTAGATAAGAGGAATGTGAGCCTTCTAGAATAGAATATCTTTAAATATCTTTCATTCCTATTCTATCAGACTTGTAGCAAGAATTTACTCCAGCATTTTCCCATGTGAATATATAAAATTTCAGGGTCCAATTAAAAACTATACCTTCCACTTGCTAACTTGATTAAAAAAAAAATGAAGGTTTTTTTAAGCCAGCCAATCTCCCTGAAGTCATACACAGACACAAGAAGACAAACACTAAGAAGTCCCCAGCATGATAAAGATTTAATTCATTTTACTAGATCAGCTCATCAGCTCCAGTGAATTTTATGAATATACAAATCCTACCTTCAAAGCCAGAAGGAGTTAGAGAGCTAAAGAGGCTCTGTGGTCAGAAATTAGAAGCTAGGCATCCATTTCATTTTCATGCCAAATATAATGCATTTTGTTAGACGATACTGGAAAAAAACAGGATCATTCCCTGAGTAGAGCTAATGAAGTTCCTTGTTATTAAAAAGCACTTGTTATTAAACAAAGAAAACATTAGTCCCTCTCTTTTCCTGATCCTATTCCCAGGATACTAAATCAATTACATTTGGAGAAAATAGGGGCCTTGATAATCTCAGTGCTGGCCTCCTTCATGCTCGGTGTAATAAGTATTTCATTTTCTACATTATGACATTGTAGGACTGGTGAATGGCAAAGATTAGACTAAGCCAGCAGAGGCAAGCAAAAACACTCATAATAATGATGGAATACAAGGAGCGAAGTAATCTAGATAATTGAGAGACCACAAATTCCATTTTAAGCATCATCAACTACAGATAGCACAAACGTCAGTGGAACATGTATCTATGGTGCCCACGCTGTGTGCTGAGACATCCCGTGTGCCTAGCAAACTCCTAGGAGCACCATGAGACCACAAACTTTGGAGGGAGACACAGCAACATCTGCAGGACACTGTGCAAACTGCCATTATTAAATCGCCTGGACCTAACTACTTCATCAATGAAACTATGACATATTAATGTTGGCCTAGGGCACTATAAGAAAAAAATTCTAAGAAAACAATGTCACTGTAAACAGAGAAAGTTTGGGAGTCTCTGGCATAGGCATTTTTTTTTTTTAGGCTTAGAGGATATATAAGAACTGCAAAATCAAACAATTTTGAATTATTGCCACACATACTCATTTCCCATTTCATATCACTTAGCCAAGGCAGAAGCTGCTTATTCCTGACTATATCTGTTCTTCCACATCAGGTCAATACAGAAGCACCACTTGTAAAATCAGAGATCATCTGGCTGATAATTTATCATCAAATATATATATATATATATATATATATATATATATATATATGTATTTGTGTGTGTGTGTGTGTGTGCTTGTGTGAATTTTCTCTCTTTTAAAGCTGCCATTTGGGGAAACTCTGCATTTATTCTAGAAAGGTTGATTTTGCTTAAAAACCCACACATACTTTTTGGGAAATCCACACATGAAATTATGTTTAGGGCCCCTGTCATAGTCCTTCAAAAAGTCTCAGTGATGGGAAAACTTCATCACAGAGGGCTGACTTGACATCCAGAAATTGCCAAACACTATTTGGTGCTAAGTTTGATCAACAGGTGGTGAACTAAAGAGGAAAATACCTGGTAAGGATGTTTGTGGAAAAACAAACCACTAAGGAGTAATTATAAAATGATGATTCTGCAAGTTACACACGAAGAAGAAGGATTGGAGTTTGCAGACTTTTTTGAAAGAGAAGTGGCAATGATTTTAGCAGATAAATATATATCATCTTTCCAGGTGGCTACTCTGCAGGGGAATGCATTCAATGCAGTCATCAAACATATGTGGCAACTGTCTTAAAAAATCATTCACATTACTTTTTGGACACACATTTGAAATCAGTATAGTTAGAGACATAGATATTTTTATAAACATGAAGACAATTTATATTGTGGATAATTATATGATACCAAATCAAACACACTTGGAAAAAACAGCCTGAGCAACATTTGTAAAGAAATGTTGGCTTTGTAATACATCATGTATTTATTTCCATTGCATAGATACACATAGGGCTGCTATTCAGACAGCACATGCCAATAATACTATTTTTCTCCTCCCTCTCTCTCTTCAACTTATATCAACCTATAACAGTTTATGCACCCCAACATTTATTTTAAAATTAGTTGTTCAGAAAGTACAGCACAGTTCTCCAAAAGCAAATTCTCACATTCTAAAATTTAGATCCAGGGGCCTCTCTGGTTGCAAAGGGTTAAGTCTCAGCACTATGACACTATCAGCAACCACTGCAGCACAAGTTCCATCCAGGGAGCTACCCACATGGCGCAGCAGACCTCTCCTGTCTCACCCACTGCTCCCCTCAGCAGTGTATTTCAGTAGATCTGCCTGTTCTGCTCCCCACTCTGTCTCTGGTGAATCCTCTCACTCCCCTACACCTCTCGCCTACATCCCAGCTCTTGTATGCATAAATAAATAAATCTTTTGAAAAAATTTAGACCCATAAGGTTGTCAAACCATTTTACTTTAGTATCTGACAGCTAATTTTCATGGATTATATTATTTTGGGGAAAGGATATCCTGGATTTCAAGTCGACATTCCAGGAATATGCCTTCTCAGACAGAGGCAGAGATGGTCCTACTGATGAGGACCAAGACAGGAGAGGGACCTCTTGCTCCTTTCTGCAAATGTTCATGAGAAAGTCAGTTTAAATCAACCCTGTTCTTCTGAGGCACTTGGAACCTGCGCTCTCAACCCTGCTGTGCATCAGAATCACGTGACCAACTTGTGCAAATACCAACACCCAGGCCACATCCTAGACCAGTGAGATGCCCCTGGGACCTTGGCACTGAGATTATGCACAGCCTCCCACAGATTCCTGGGTGCGCCCGGGTTGAGAACCACAGACTCACTCCTTTTCCATGCTTCATGATTGTTTCTGCGAGTTCAGCCCTCAGCTCACAGAATGGACAGGTGCACACGGACAACACAGGCTTTGTTAAGACTATTTCCAAATAGAAACCACAGTGAGCATAGCGCCAGACTAGGAAGATGTTTTGCTTTACATGTTTCACCAAAAGCTGCGTGTAATGCATCAGCCCCTGATTTCTTCCTATTCTTTTTTCATAAAATGGATGAAGAGAGTAGGGAATGTAGTTGTGACTGTTTTCTCTCAGTCTCAAAAAGAGAAACTTCCAGACTGAAGAAGGGGTGGGAAAGTGGCTGGCCATGATCACTAGGCTAATACCCTTTTTCTGGCTGGAAAAAGAGGGAGAACAGAGGTAGCTTTAAAACAAATGAAAAGGATGTTTAATCAAACAGGTATGTCCTAGAGCTGAATACAGAGAAGGGCATGGAAGTATCCTACTCACCAACCGTTACCAGCTAGAGATAAACACAAGGAGAAAATGCAACAGAGAAAACTATGGCTGCACTTCAAATTCTAAAAGGAAGGGTTGGAGATGATAAGAGGGGCAACCCTCTCTCCTTTTCTGTGAACTTGAGACTGGGAAGAAACCATGTTCTTTTTTAAGCAACATCCTTTGTCCTTACTGCATGAGTAGCCTCGTATGAACACAATGTCCCAAAGCAATGTTTCCCGGTTATTAGCTTGAACTAGAACCCCAAATCTTAGACCCATGAGTGTATTTGGCCACCAGAAAGAACACTAGTTGCTTAGTTACACTCTAGGAATTCACAGGAGATCTAACCACTTAGAGCGGATTCAGCTCCTGCAAGCTGTGAAGACAGAGGACGTCACTACACAAGCACTGGGAACCCAGCAGCCCATCACGCAGAATAAACTCAACCCTCCCAATTTTCCTCTCATCTTGTCAAGGAACTGCTTTAAATTTTCTGCTATTTGCAGATCTTCTGTTAATCGTAAGGCTTCTTGATTAAACAGCAACAACAACAACAAAGCAAAAGAATAAGTTAACTACAAAGGCAATCCTTGGGGCTATACAGTATAGGAAGGGCGAAAGCAGAAGAAGGCACCAATTCTGTGTGGTTTGACATGATAGTTCCCCTCAGGACTGACAAATGTCCTTCTTACTAAATAAATACAGGTGTTCACACAAGCCACTTGGCAGAACCTTTGACATACCACACAGACACACACACACACACACACACACACACACAGGCAATATAAGATCACGTCAGGAATCACATTCCATGACTATACCACAAATGTCAAGAGAATCAAACGTGTGATACTGGGAACTTTGATGAAAGTGACTTCATGTTTTCCAAAGTTGGGTAAAGGCTATGACCAGGATATGTTGCCACTTCACCTAAAACATGGGGTTATTACCCAGGACTGAGCAGAAATTTGGGGACATGGCAGCACAGAGCAGCTGGAAGAGATATTTCACAAGAAGAGCTTCTTGTTTATATTTTATAATACTCTTAAAGATGCATATTAAATAATTTCTCTGGACCACAGACACCATTGAACTTTAAAAATAAAAGCCCTATAAATATTGCCGACCCAAGCTAGTCTTCTGTAGCTCCCTCTTTGCATAAAATGGAATCTTTTCCACCAAGCACTTAAACATAAATAGTAAAAGAATCAATGGGACAAAGTACAAATCTACTTACAATGTCATCACTACTGTAGCACCTTTTTACTAGGGCCAATGCATTCATTGTGTAAAGAACAAGAGGAGTCTGAGAAGCTTAAGGACTCGTATGACACATCATTAAATATTTAATCACCTTTTCAAGTCCTAAGCCTTTATCATATTTCATCCATCTAGACAGTTCATTCTATACTATAGATTCCAAGGGCCCCTTTGGAGGGGTGAAAAGGAAAATGGGCAGAAAAAAACCTTCTGAGAGGCAGGGTTAAATTATCTCTAAGATGAGTTTCTATTGGCGCTTTAGTGAACTTGCTTCACCCTGTAAACCCACCAATCCACAGGAGGGTCAACCGATTGAGTCCTTTGATTTTAGTCTCCAAGAATCAGTTTTACAAAAGATGCCACATCTGTTGCTTTGGATTCGTGTAGGGTGAAAAATGGATGTTGCTGAGAAAGAAAAAGAAAAAGAAAAAGACGCAGTGTTAATATTTATCATTGACAATAGATGGGATTAGCAAATTAATCTGTTTGGTAAATAGATTAAATACTGCTCTTGAAGCTAATCCAGACCGTTTTTCACCCCTTCCCACACCTAGCACATATCTCAGGCTGAAACAATTTCGAGATCGTTTTTTTAGTTGCCTCTCCTCCAATTTGGTATCTGTTTCAATTACAGAGTATCTACTGCTTTAAAGAAGGACAAAAATAATTAGGCTATTATAATCCCATCTATGGCAAACTACAAGGATTAACCAAGACAGTCTAAACCTTTGATTTGCAAATAACCCCATCATCTGAAAAGTAACTTCTAGAATGATTCTGTAGAAAAATAATTACAAATTTCACAGAGGCAAGCACATCGGTCTCAGGAAACGGGTGGTAGCATGAGAAACCAATTCTGTAGAACAGTGACGGGGCTGGGCCTTGCTGCCCCTGGACTGAGGAGCTGGTTTGAACAGAGACAGTCAGCAAGTCATTTCCTAAGCCACCTGTATGACCACAAGTTGCCAAGCTTCCATCTCCATTTGGCTAATAATATAGAGTATGAACTCTAGGGACGTGAGGATAAAATTCAACTCAGAGACTAAAGATCCAAAAGGCAAAAAAATGAAAAAATGGTCTGTGTTCACACAAATCAGATAAATTCAACTTTCCAAAAACATCAAGCCTAGCATGTGGGCTGAGGCAGCTGTATGGTACAACAGGACAGGTCACTCACGTCGCGATTTTGAAGAAATATAGTCTTTGGGCCTCCCTGGCAACTCAAGGGGTTAAGACTCAGCACCATGAAACTATCGCCAGCCACTGCTGCACGGGTTCGATCCCCAGCCAGGGAGCTGACCAACATTCTTGCTGCTCCCTTCAGCAGTTTCAGTAGATCCCCCTGTTCTGCTCCCCACTCTGTCTCTGGTGAATCCTCTCAACCCCTGCACCTCTAGCCTGCACCCCAGCTCTTGCATGGATAAATAAATAAAATAAATCTTTTAAAAATATGTATGTAGTCTATATATATATATATATATATATATATAGTCTTTTCCTCTGCAGCAGAAAAGTCCTCCCTGAAACCAATTGATTTGTTACAGTAAGTACCGGCTGTCACCATGGAACCTTCCACCTCTAATTAGAATGAGACACAGCCGTTCATGATCCATGTTCTCACGGTGGAAACAGAACCAACCAGCCCAACCGAAAAGGACATTTCCTTTAGGGAGAGCCCAGCACCCCATTCTGCCCCATGCTCAGTTACCTCCCTGATTGTCTGCTGGTATTATTTTCAGAGACGAGCTGAGCAGCTAAATATGAGCATTTTCACATGCAGACATGTCGATGACTCACTCTGTTTCCCCTGACTTAGGGGATTGTAGTTTACAACCTTCATGTTGCCTAGCTGTAAGTTTTGCTAATTATATTTGTTTTAAACCTGACAACAGAGGGCTGGGTGAGTCAGCTCTGTGGGGAACTCAGTGCCCACCCGGGGAAGTTTTAGGAAACAATGCGAATGGAAAAGGAACAAAAAAACCCCCAAAGAAGGTAGGTGGTCACTGTTAAGGATCATGACTCAGAAAGAGGAAAAGGAGAATTTCTGCCTTTGTCCAGCTGGACAGGCAGGTTGGGCGAAGGCTCAGAGACTCACACCCACTAATTCACTGGAGCTCGCGCTGCTGGGTCCTCATCCTGAGCTCCCTGGACAAATAAATAGCAGCATTACTTTTGATTACTAACCACTTACACAGCACACTTACCAAGTGCTTTACCATCATGCTTATTAGCTCTCCCACATCCTCTTGACATTTGAAGATCTTTTCATGTACTTAAAAGCCTTTTACTATCAAAACAGGACACGTCAAACCTCAGATTGTCTCAGAAACTGCTTCCAACGCCCGCCAGCCCCATTTTGCCTCTGGTTCTGGTTGGGGTTATTAGTTCAGTGTCTGAGTCTGTGAATGAATTCAATAACCTGACCTGAAGTCTTGACAAAAAATGCTTGGACAGCTTTCAGTTTATTCTCAGGCTGGAAAAATGCTGTGAGAAGCAGAAGACAGGGGGAGGGGGAAGCAAGCAGGCCTGTCAAAATGGAAAGTGTAACCCGCCTTCTTGTGTGGGTTTGAGATTGTCAAAGACTGGGAGGAAACCCAGTCTCTTCCATAAGCAATGGTCTAAGAATAGCAAAGATAGAGACCAGGAGTTCAGCAGACGAAGGACCACGGAATCATCCCCAACTCTGGTCTAGATTGGGTTTCTCAAAAAAAAAAAAAGCCAGGTACAGGGAGGGAGGTCATACCCACGTTTAAGTTCGCTGTTGGGTGGTGGAGGTGCACAGACTAACAGCCAGGGGCACCCGAGCAAGCTCAACCACCAATAGTATCCACAGCCCATACCTCATCCTACATTAAGTGGGTTCAGTCATCCTTGCGTAACACTGCCATTCAATCTAGAACTTCTGGAGCTCTTTGTCAAAGACAATCTCACCTGGCTACCCGTTTTGGTGGCTATCATCTAAGACAGGGGTCAATAAAGGAAGGTCACAGGTCACATCTAGTCCACTGCCTGATTTGGAAATAAGCCACACCTATGTGTTTACATACTAAATGTGGTTGCTTTGTGCTAGAACAAGGGTCGTGCCATCGTGACAGCTGATGACACTGACTTAGTACCTAACCCTTTCCCCAAAAAGAGTTAGCTGGTCCACACTGTGTGTACAAGAACAAACCCATGTCCTCCAGGGCAGTTTGAGAGAAGAAGCAAATGAGGAAATCTTAAAGCATGCACACCCCTCAATCCAAGTTAGGGAGAAAACCATTTCTGTAACAGGTACATGTCTGGGTAAGGGCCTTAATTATACTGTCCTTCACCTGGAAAAAGGATTTTTCCCCCCTGTACCTCTTCACCAACTCCTACAACCTAAACAATAGCCTCTCAGCCTGTTTTCTCAATGCTCAAATCAAAGAGTTTGGACTCAGATTTTCCATTTAAAAACCTCAATTCCACAGGAAAGCAGGGAGCAGTTAGAGCCTTAAAAGGCACATCCATTTCCAGGACCACAAAGACTAATGCCATAAAAAGAAAAGGGGAGGTCAGGAGACCCACGCAATCTTAACACAATAATACACAAGTCTTAGCAGAGCACAGCGTCAGACTATATTGGGCAGGTAGGAACATTAACTGCCAGTGTATGTTAATTTAGAACTCAGCATTTTTAATCAAGTGTGTTCTAGTGAAATCTCTGAGAGGAGGACACTTGAAATGGAAAAATATTCTACATTTCTCTGAAAATAGTGACAAGCAAGGCAACTTTAAAATCGGAATACAAGTCCCACAGGAACCCACAGGAATCACTGCATGTCTATTGCCTTTTATGTGAAATTCATTTTAAAATGCTCTGGGTGGGGCCTCCCTGGTGGTGCAAGGGGTTAAGTCTAGCCCTATGAAGCTATCAGCAGCCACTGTAGCACAAGTTCGATGCCCAGCCAGGGAGCTGACCCACATGGCACAGACCTCTCCTGTCTTGCCCACTGCTCCCCTCAAGAGTGTATTTCAGTAGATCAACCTGTTCAATTCCCCACTCTCTCTCTCTGGTGAATCCTCTCACCGTCCTCCACTCCACGCCTCTGCCCTATACCCCAACTCTTGTATATATAAATAAATAAAATAAATCTTAAAAATAAAAATAAAATGCTCTGGGCATTGCATAAGCATAGCAGCCCAGGGTAGCCAGGCCTGAAAAAGCCCCCTGCTGGGCTATTGAAAATGTAATCAGGGAGGAAATACTCAACCCAAATGCAGTCTGCTAGGATTTTCTCAAGTTATTCTTCTTCTATTCTTTCCCAACTGTGGGTCTTAGTTGAAGAGAAACAGCAGAATGCTAAGGCTCAGAGATGCCTTTGCAGAGGCGACAACAGAGGCCCAAGGAGACTGCCTAGTCTCTTCTTAGGCCTCACCCAGTTGGAGAATGGTCCAGACTTCAACCAGAGCTTCAAGAGAACTCAAAATCCATGTCCTTGGCTATGACTCTGGCCTGTTGTCCAGTTAGCTTTCTGTAACTCCTCCTGTTTGACATATTCAAACCACATCTTTTCTTTCCTTTTGTTTTCTAGCTTTCTTAAGACATAACTGACATATCCATTTCATGAGCTTAATGTGATGATTTGATATGCTCATAAATTGCAAAGTGATTACTATATAACTAGTTAAACTCCCATCACCTCAGGATTTTGTGTTTTTGTTTTTGTTTTTGTTTTTTTGTGGTACACACTTATAAAATCTATTCTTCTAGCAACTTCTCCAAAAAATACAGTAATGTTAACTAGAGTCATCATGCTATACAAAACACCCCCAGGACTTCTTTATCTTATAACTTTGAACACTTTCACCTACTTCCTCACCCTACCTCACCCCAATCAACCACCAGTCTACTCTGTTTCTATGAGTTCATTATTTTTAGATTCCACATATAAGTGAGATCATACAGTATTTTTTTTGTCAGATACACTTCGCTTAGCATAATGCCCTCAAGCTTCCGCCATGTTGCTGCAAAAGGCAAGATATCCACCTTTTTCATGGCTGAATAATATTCCAGTGTGTGCTGATGACATTTTCTTTATGAACCTGTTGATGGCCACTTAGATTGCTTCCTGTTCCCCTGTCCTAGCTATTGTAATTAATGCTGTAATGAACATAGGAGTAAAGATATCCCTGTGAGACAGTGATTTCATTTCTCTCAGACGTACACCCAGAAGTAAAACTGCTAGATCCTAAGGCAGTTCTATTTTTAATTTTTTGAGGTGCCTCCAAACTGTTTACATTTCCATGGACAGAGTGACCACAAGGGTCCCCTTTCCTTCACATTCTCATTGACACTTGTCATCCCTTGGCTTTTTTGATAATACACACGGCAGCAGGTGTGACGTGATGTCACAACAGTTTTGATTTATGCTTCCCTTATGGGCAGTGATGCTGAATACATTTTCATTTACTTATCAAAAATTAACAAGCAGGACTACATAAAACTAAAATGCTTCCGCACAGCAGAAGAAACAATCAAAAAAATGAAAAGGCAACCTAGAAAATGGGAGAAAATATTTGTAAAGCATGTAGCTGAAAAGGAATAATATCCAAAATATATAAAGAACTCACAAAACCCAATTGCAAAAACAGGGCAAAGGACCCATGTGGACATTTTCCTAAAAGAAATGACATAAAATGATTGAAAACCTATGCTTTTTTCCAAGATGAAGCCATATAATCACACCACTGTTAAGAGATATCAGGAACCTAAAATTCTAGCACTGGTCAGGAACTAGTCTTAAAGACTGAGCACTACTTGTGGGTGGGTTGGAATGGGAGCAAACATTTAGTGCCTGCTGAATAACTGCCCCAGTAAGAAAAGTTTCTTTTGAAATTATGCAAGAACAGACTCTTTCATCCCCTGCTAAAATTAAGACCTTGGAAACTTAAATAAACACTGCAATTAGCAAATAGGCTCTACTGCATACTATTTCCAAAAAGTATGTTTCTCCCACATTCAACACGCATTTAGGTAAGAATTTCCAGCTTTGGGTTCCTGTTATTTATATTAAATATTTACTTGTAGTTAGTTTCAAATTGTAGTTATCATAATGTAAGAGAAATCATTTTCAAACCACTCTGAGGACTATTTTCCCTCTTTCTTCATAGATAGCACAAATGATAAACCATGAATGCTGAAGCAGTGTAATTCAAACTAACAAGACTTTGTGCTACTGTTTCCCATCAAAATGAAAACCAGAAGAAAATAGAATCTTTTCTCCCTAAATATCCACCAAGCAGAAACAATCTAAACAATCATAAATATTTTATCAAATGCTGGAGAAACAAGTTTCTCTCATTATTGACATCCTCTAACTTATACTTTCCTTCATTTTATATTAGTACTTGGATGCTTTGTATCTTTGAAATTTGAAAATTTAAGTTTTATAGATATATTTCAGCCTGTCTAATGACAGGATGAGGTTATCAGCATGGAAACTGCTCAGATGGGAGATAAATCCCAGCTTACACTGAAGCAGGTGCAGACAAGGGAAAAGACTCCACTCTTTCTCTTGAGTTCAATTCCAGTGACCAATGCTTGCATAAATCAGCTTTTCCAATATGGTGGATGAATTACAGTGTAGGTCTTAGTCCCTTTACCCTGACTAGCTCTTAGTTTGGACAAGTTCACACTAGTAACAATACTTACCATAAGCTCTGGATATGTTGGCCGTTCTTTGGAATTCTTCTTCAAGCTTAAAGAAAAAAATGAATCATATTAATATCTAAAAGCTATCTGTATTTTCACTAGATAAGGATTTCAGAACCTGTTGAAGACTAAATATAACCAGCTTCACAATGTATTGAAGACATAAATCTCCTATCTTGACTTTCTTCTGTTATAAATCATGTCTTAAATGACTCTGGGAGTATCTTAGTGGGAAGAATAGGTGTGTGTGTGTGTGTGTGTTTATTTTCCTTTTGCTACTTCACCATTTACATATAAACGAACTTTTCTGATGTACAACCATTGTCACTAATCACGTATCTACTTTCTCGCAAAACAGCTTTTTATCTACACCCACCTACAAAGAAATTGGCAGGTGTTTCTTATATTAGATTTGTTATCTCTTTACTCTCCTCAAAGCTGGTTCACCTTGTTGTTGGTCCCCTTCAGTGTATAATTTGCTTTCCTATCCTAACCAAACCTCCCTGCGATCGAGCACTACACCATAAAATGTCTAAGATAGCACAACTTGTTTACGACCTCTGGCTGATGAAAAAGAAAGTACTCAGTGACTTAGCAACTATTCTTCTCAGAAATACTTTGTGGTCATGCACTCCTGCTGAGTGGCTCCTGTTCATTCAGCTGTGCCTACACACAGACATTTTAATAACAGGCGATACCGGAAGCAACAGTGATAAAACTGCAATATGAAGAAGCCAACCCCTCACCCATGTCCTCAGCCCACCCCTGATTCCACCAACAGACTTCAAATGGAAAAAAAGAAAAGAAGTGGTTTATTTGGAGTTGGAAGCCCAGATTACAGAATGGAGAAAAGGATGATTCTGAAAACTATGATTCACATAGCAACCTACAGACCCTTCTGCCCAAGGAGGCACAAAACATACATGGATGGAAAGGGGCTTTGCCTGGTGTCAGGGAAACCCAAAGGTGACTGAGTCTCAGGTTCTGGGATTGGTACTGATGGATCACTTTGAGCAAATGAGACCTAGCAGGTGTGACATGAGCTCCGCGCCTCCCACCTCAGCTAATCATAATGAGGGGGGCAAGGGACAGTCAAAGAGAGTGAAGTTGTTGAGACACTTTGAAATTCTGTGGTTTAAAACAAAACGAAATGAAAAAAGAAAAAAAAAAGAGGAAGTATTTTGGAGCCAAAATAACTGAAAGCAGCCTACCAGTTTATTCCAGGCAATGTTGTGGATAGAAGCCAGGGAACCTGGGACAGGGTACAGGTAGATGTGAGGAGAGAAGTTTCAACCTGGAACTGAGGGCAGATCTAGGACCTAGTGACCTCAGTGCCCAGGCAACCTATGAGAGAAAGTTTCGTCTCAACTGAGGATAAAAATAAGAGTGAATTAGAAAGAGGAATTATCAACTGTCAAAGTGGGATTGACAAGGGAGGGTGTGCCTGGGGGAAGGAAGGAGGCCGAGTCACCTCCATTTAGAATTTGCATGTAACTATATCCTGAGAGCCTGTAGGGACTGTGGTTCTCAACTGTGGATGATTTTGCCCTGCAGGGGAATATTTAGCAATGTCAGGGGGCACTTGTGGTTGACACAACTGGCGCTATGGGGTGTAACTGCATCTAAGAGGTGAAGGCAGGGAGGTTGCTTAATATCCTGAGATGCACAGAACAGGCCCCCACAACAAAGAAGGACCCTGCCCAAATATGATCAGTGCTGACCTGAGAACTCCTGGGCATATAGACTGGGGGAATTCCTCTTCATTGCTACCTTCAATCCCCTTCTCTGAAATGGAATCTACTGAGAAGCATCTCCAGCTGGTTCTACTCACCACTACCATCCCTCCCTAACCCACCTCTACTCTAGAAAGCAAAAGTTAAGATTTAGTTCACCTGGAAACAAGAAGAAATCTGATTCCTGGAGAGTTTCTAACTTGCAGAGAACATAGTTTTAACAAAAACGAATGAATGAAAATCTTGAATTTCTAGCTATTGGTCAAAGCCTATCAAAACCCAGAAAGTCTTAAGTCTTCTCTATAACCTGAAGCATTCAACTTGCTAAAATCAAAAGTGAGAAACTCCTGCATCACCTTAAGACCACCTTCTATATTGAAAGTGGTTGATTGTAGGAGTCTCTATTTAGAAAAAAAACATTAGTCAGTCATCAGAATCTCACTCTACATTTAATCTGGAATGTTCTCTTTAAGGACGACAATGCTTCTTTCCATTTCTTGTTTTCATTGGTCAACAAACATGCAGGGGAATAAGAATTAGGAAGAAAAGCTGGTTTCACAAATGTTAAAACAATAGCCTCTTGTACCAGGCAGCGATCTTTGTGCTATTGCAGATTTGGGACCTTCTATTTAGTAGATAACAAACTAAGACTCTTCTCATGAGATAGAAGCATAATCTTTTTTCATTTCTGGAATAGTTGATGAAAACGTCTCCAGTATTTATTTTAATCTTTTCTTTAAATGTGGGGAAAATACCCCAAGTTGATCTGACATAAAGCATTCAGGACCCCTGAGACCTCAATGATTATTGGCCAATCAGCTATTTCTGGACTTCTGCCTCAGATAAGAAAGCTCAAAGTAAAACACAAGCACTACTGCAGAATAATGATGGAAAATCCTTACACAGCAAAGCGAGGTTGTTTATTGAATTAACACAACTGATATAACCTACTCCCTCCATCTTTTAAATAAAGAACACTTCAAAACATGGACTAAGAATAGTAAAACACTCAGGATAAGGTTGGGGAAGAAAAGCAAATTTTCCATGTTTAATAGGAAGTGCTTGAAATTCAGTATAAAATAACAACGGTGAAGTTCAAAGCTCCACCAATTTCTTCTTGGATTTGAGTCAGACTTTTGAATTTTCAAGTGGCTTGTCATTTTCAAGCGTGCAATTAGCTAACTGCCCTAATTCCTCTTCCAAATGCCACAACACACGTCCCTGACTGTAGCTGACACTAAAAAACAACTACACGCTGTCTTGAGAATGGCTAGCTTTAAGATTGTGCTGAGCAGAGGATTTCTGCCTATTGAACTCCCCTGATCATTTCCAGGAAGGCTTATAAGGTGCATCCACAGAATAAAGCACAGTGCACCTCTCACGCTGTACATTTGGCATAAGCTAAATAAATATTCTTTTTACTGTCCCCCCTCAGCATGTTGGAAACTGTATTTCTTTGTTTTGTAATAATTCCTCTGAATCCATCAACATCTGGCGGGCCCCCAATGCCATCAGGCTGGTCAGCTGGGCACTGAGCCTCTTAAATAGGTTTGAGTGGTACAGCATAGAGGTAGACCAGTTATTTGGGCACCCAAGAGTTGGTTTCCAGGAGCTTTTTCAGTCCCCAAGCCTGTGAACTTATAGGAAGGGGTTTGAGTCAAAAGTGGAAATATGCTAAGATTCCATTTTCTTAAGAAATTAATTTGTAAACCCTATAGTAGGACTAGACTGTAAGAGTTTTTTTTTTTTTCTATCAAACTTCTCTATTTTGAATCCTGAAATGAGGCCATGGGGTCAGTACTACTCAACTCAGTATGTCTTTAAAGCCCTATGACAAGACAGCCATTGTGAAAAGAAAAAAAAAAAAAAAAGGAAGCAGTATTATTCAGTAGTCCATGTTTCAAAATACATAAAGGGTCTGTAAGAAACTGCTGTTTTCCTCAAGTTCATAAAGAAAAAAAATGCCTTAATTCATTTCCTTGTCCCTTCCCCTGACCCTAGCATATCTCTGGTGTTAGTACAAAAAAGACCCATGAGCTAGATCTCTGGGCTCTACATGCAATTTTGGGTATGACGGTAATAGCCTATAAGTGCTCACTATTCCAACCCACAAACCAACTGACTGTCAACTGACAAGCAGCAGGCAGAGGGAAACAGCCACCAAGTTGCGCAGGGGGTGAAAGTACATGAGTCACAGCACTGTGATGTCATCAGATACTTAGAGAGGACACATCCCACCAACAATCGCCAATACTCTGACAGGTCACCAAGGCTGTGAACATACCCTTTTCCTTCTAATCCCACAGATAATATGAAATCAAAACATACCTATATCTATCTTGAAATGTGAGATTAAATTCTTTACTTTACAAATCTATAGCTCCTTTCCCCACCTACCACAGAGCCGGGGTTTTATTGGGAAGTCTTAAGACGAGGTCATAATCATAGAGGCCACCTGATAAAGGTCCTTTTGTGAAGATGTGTCTCAAAATTACAGCTTTATGTATAGGAAGATGGAGGTAGGCTCACAGAAAAGGTCCTTCTCTTCAGCAGGAAATAGAAAACATGTTCAGAGGTCATAATCCTTTTTCCTTTCTTTCTGCTCATCTCTAGATCAACCTGAGAACTGTCAGTAGCCCAACAAGTGAAAAAACAAGAGGGAAGGATGTCTGTATCCATATACTGACACATACAAAAAATAAAATTGCTTCCATAAAGATCTAAGCCCTTCATGAAATCTTTTGGAAAATCAGTGCCATTTTTTGAAAGTATTAGATAACTTTGCCAACTCAGTTGGCTTCAAAATAATATTCATACTGAGGGGTAGCTAAGAAAATATATTGGTGGCTTATGGTAGGCAGAAAGCAAGTGAACCCGTGTCTGAAATAGGAGAGCTTAACTAAAAATGTTCATAAAATCAACATTAATATTCCCCTTCCATTTCCCAATTTCCATGCCAACAAAAACAATTCCCTGTTTTATACAATTGATTTTCTTAAGGATCAGATCCAACCGGAATTACGACACTGAAATTTGAAGAACTTATTCTTTGACGACTTCAAAGTTGAATTGATTTGAGTTTTGCTCTTGGTATTATTTTTTGAGTAAATGCCATAAGCAAGCCAGACTGGCTTCCTTGCACACAAATGAAAGGATATGGAATTGACAGTATTAACACGATTAGCAATTCTTAGGAAGCTGGAGAAAACCTATGACTGACTTTTTTTTTTAATTTATGAAATATAATAGCTGAGACTAAAATCTAAAGTTGAGAAGAAAAGACAGGAAAAAAAAGGGGGGGCTGTGGAGATACTATGTGAGTGTTTAGGGCGGTAGGTAGAATCCAGGGTGAATCCTGTAGAAAGAACAGTAATTGAAATATCTGGAATTTCCACATCATGCATTAAAATTAGAGAAACAAATTCAAGGATTTCCTTTTTAAATTTACCTGTAAAAACTTCAACACTCTTATTCTTTAGGGGAAATTTCAAGTAAGAGCAAAAGGTACATTAGTAAAAGGAAAATAAGTAAATGAGTGGTTGTTAAATAAGTCACAAAAGAAAAATAACTTTTGAACAGGAAGCAGCTAATAACAGGTCCACAGCTCATAGATCTAAACTAGGGGTTCTCGCTCAAGCTGTACTGCAGACTCACTTAACAATATTTGGGAAATACTAATATTCAGGACCCTCCCCAGACCAATTCAATCAGAATCTCAGAGGCCGAGGCCTCAGTGCATTTGTAAGTTCTCCTAAGCTTTATATGGAGCAGGCAGAGTTGAGAACTCTTAGTGATTCACAATAGAAACTCGCTGTTCTCAAACTTGTCAACTCAGCCTGTTCTTACCAAAGACTCTTAGGGAAAAGGGATAGGTGGAATAGGAGCTATAGGAAGAACAACTTGAAAAGACTTTCCCAGATAAGGTGTTTCTCCTGGACAACTTCTCTTGAACTACTGCCCTGAAATATCCAAGATGACTATCCCTTATCTTATGTGACCTTTACACAATGGAGAACATGGCAGTTAAAAACAACCAACCAACTAAAAACACAAGTTCTTGAATCCAGAAGGTCAAACCATGAATCCATCTCCACCTGGCAGGTGGAGCACCACTCCCACACTCACTGAAGGGAAGCAGAGGGAGGGTCCTCCATGGGCACCCAAAGGATGCACCCTTGTAAGTAGCACCCACCACACACCAAAATAGAGTTCAAGATGCCTGCCTTTCTCTGGTCGCTCAGCCAAGAGCAAACACAATGGTGGGTCAACTTTAGAGATCATGAGGGAAAAGTACCACAGTGATCTAGAACCTCAAGCTCCCCAAAAGCTTAAGGGACATTCATTTCATAAGCCACAGAGTTTGTCTGTTCATGTTTGTCTCGTTACATTTCCCAGTAAAATCTGTATTCAGAACACTGCTCCCAAAGAGCATGGTGGCCAAGGAAGGACTGCCTTGTGAAAGGTGTTGCTTCAGAATCCTCTAGACTTTCAGACTTCAGTGCTCCAGCACCTTCCTCAGAAGCAAGTGACCAGAATTGCTTGTCTCAGAGGGTAATTGCTGGGCTTGTCAACATCTCTGATTGCCCTTCCTCACAGTTCTCATCTGTTTCTGAGGATTCCCCCATAAGCAAATATGGTGCCATGGTGGGCTTTACTTTGGCACCTCTTTCCTGCACCATTGCAAAGATCATTAGTATCAAGCTATGATGGCCTCTGGTCCTACGCAGACAGAAACCACTAGATTTCCTAGTAAAAAAAAAAAAAAAACCTAGCTCCACTCTTACTTTCCTTGATTCCATGAAAACCAAGTCCACAGTATTAGCACAACTTCTTCCATACTCCCTCCATAGACCCCCCAGGAGGCAGTCTAGAAAACACTAGAATTACTAGGCAGGACTACTACATTTCTAAGTAACTTTCTGAAATTACCTGCTGTCTTCTCTATCCAAGGTAACTGCGTGTGTCTTATCTGCACCCCATTCCTAGTCTCCAAGGGGTCCCACCACCTCTTCTTTATGCTCTAGGCAACATCAAATTGCTTACAGCTCTCATCAAGGACATTCTCACTTTTATGACATGATGGATGATGTTCCTTCTGTGGAAGACCTGGGCCCTAATCTCATTTCCCCTCCACTTGGAAAGCACCTCACATGGTTCCAGCTCAGGATTTATCTCCTCCAGAAACTGTACCCTAATGCCCTTTCTGAGGTCCCCAAATACCCTATGTGTATCACGAGACTTGCCATCATGCGCTATAATCAGTATGGATGGATGACACGCCCCTATTTGACTTGCACTCAGTGGGGACAGGGACTGGAATAGAGGCATCGTGATTTCTCTGGGATCAAGGGCACACTCCATAAATGCTTTTGGAATGCATGTGTGCACATGGGTTAAAAGCGGCAAAGGAAACTCATGAGGACGTGTCTTTTTCCTGAACGCTGGCACCTGGGTGATGCAGTTCTCTTACCACTGTGAGGTAAAGTCAACAAACTCTTCCGAGAACTTGTCTGCTGGGAGTTGTGGCGATGGCTCCTCCACCACCTGTTTGAGCTGCTGAAAAGGAGTCCCCCATGAATCATAAGGAAACCGAAGAATGGCCAACTCAATCTAGAGGGGAGAGGAAAACAAGGAGACAACAGCTTAATGAGGACAACTTTAGGGAATCTGCTGTGTTTCATTCCTGGAAAGCCAGTGATAAATACAAAGGTGAAGTTCAAGTATGGGGGACTGTGTATGAGAAACTAATAATGTTATTCTCTAGCAATTTCACCCTCCAATTTCTAGTGCTGGAGATTTTCAAACACCGTCTTGCTAGGACAGCCATTTAAGTCTATTGAAAATAGTTCTTATTAAAACCCACCATGGCCCTGGGTAAAATCATCAGCCAGGAATATTAAACTTCAGGATGGAAGAGCAAATGATTTTTCAAATGCTGGTTCTGAACAGTTAATTCTCACCCCAAGCGCTGATCGTCTGCTGCCATCTACAGGGCCCGAGGTGAAGTGGAAAAAAAACAACCTAGACCAAATGACTGATCTTTTTTTGGACTTGAGTACAGGCCACTTTGCCATTCCAAGAGCACATGTTTTCTGGGCAGGGTCATGAAATAATTCATGGGATTTAATCAGCTGCTCAGTCTGGGAATGAGCCAGGAAAACAGGGGATCATTCCAGACCTTGGTGATACACTGACAATTTATGATTGCCAAACGGGGCATTGACCATATCACCTTTGGGCTGTGCCCATGGAAATGATTCTATCTGTTGTCATGTCTTTTGGGCTATACCTGACCTCAACAGAGAAGACTTCATCATAAGCACATTCCAGGAAGCCTAGCCTGCATCCTGGTTAATGCAGCTCGAGCAGGTCCTCACCCCTTAGTACACTTTGAGTTGAGCTTCTGATTAGAATAATTCCATTTGAAACTATTAAGGAAAACTATCAGGAATAATAGCTAGACCTTCTCCTGTTACAGATAATGTCAGCGAGATAGCCCATGTGACTATATCAGTTACTCACAGGCACACAAGTAGTTAGAAAAGGAACAAAGAGAAAAACTGGATTTGCGGGCCTCCCCGGTGGCTCAGTGGTTGAGCGCTGGGTTGCAAAGCTGCCCGCAGCCTCTGCAGCGCTGGTTCAATCCCCAGCTGCTCCCCGGCCACCGGAGGAGGGTCCCACATGGCGCGCAGACCTCTCCTGCCGCCCGCTGCTCCCCTCAGCAGTGTACTTCGGTCCTTCTGCCTGCTCTGCTCCCCGCTCTGGCTCTGGTGAATTCTCTCACCCTCCCGCGCTTCTGACTGTACCCAGTGCTTGTATAAATAAATAAATAAATAAATCTTTAAAAAAAAAAAAACTGGATTTGCCCAATCCTGGTTCTGTATTTCTACTAGCCCATACTGCAAACAATGGCCACTCAAAATCTCCTGCCATCTCAGATAGGGAAGATGCCCAAGATCAACACTTAGGGTGTCTGCCACGCTGTTTACCCCACCCCAGCATCATGTCTGGGACCTCACAGCCCATGAGGCTCATCTTATACACTACCATAGTGATGCCCAGACTCCAAATGTCAGACTTCACACTGTATCCCTTCTGGTTGAGCTCTGGGTTTATTCTTTCAGGCTGGAAAGGAGAAAGGGAGAAAAAAAAAAAACTGAGATGATGTTCTTAGCTCAGCGGAGTCTCTGGGGCAGGACGAGCACAGCTGCCAGGTGAATTCTTTCAAGCTGGTAACGTGCCTCCCGGGCCCAGAAGACTCACTAACTACAATAAACATCAGCGTCCCCATGGGCTTTCCTTCTGTCTACATTAGGCTTTTCTTGGAGACAGTCACGGATCAAAGTGCCCTCACAATTCAAAACTAATTTCAATTTTTTGCCTGAAGAAGAAACGGGGAATATGTCAGAAAGGCCCTTTGCTGATCTAGAATTATCCTGGTTTAAAACACCCACAGTGCAGAACTCTTGGATCAACAAGAGTTGTGTGAATAGCAGCAGCTAATGTCACCTCCTTTCTGAACACTGGAAGCTTTTCGATCCCAAGCACAAGCCCAACCCAAATACTGTGTGTCTCTCACATTCGAGGAGTCCCATCAGTCTTTGCTGATGGCAATCCTCTTCATGACTGTGAGGGTCTGTCGGACTAACCCTACTGACTTGATTGGGCCAGTTCAATGTATGTGTGTGTGTGTGTGTTTAATTGTATTAACTTTATTGAAGAAACATTGGTTTACAACACTCTATGTGATTCAGAGGTACAGGGTCAGACCTCTTCAGCTGTATGTCACCTCACTGTAGGCACCACCCCAGCATCCACAATCCTCCACACAGTCTGTGGTGCCCCCTCCACACTTGGCTCTCCACACCTTGAGCTCTCCCTCTGTTAGCCTCGGTTCTGCAGTCAGATATGTATCTAGGGTTTGTTTTGCTTTAGTCTGGGTAATTTAAATTCTATTTACTTACCTGATCTCCTGGTTGACTCCACCCCACATACATACACCCCTCCCAACACCACATTACACATACATAGGCACAGCAGCAGCAAGTAGTGACCTTAACCCAAGGCTTAGAGGGCAATTGCCTCATTTTTCTCAATAAGTGATGATCACATACACACACACACACACACACACAAATTCGATTTTCTGTTCTGGCCTCAACCAACAAGGTAACACTCCATTGCAGTTCACTGTGGGATATTGTGTGGGCATGTATTTTTTTTTTTTTTCACCAAATAATATACCTCTTGATTGATTGTTTTAAAAAAATAATATATCTGAAGCAAGTGACTAAGTATTTCAGTCAAGAACTATTTAAGAACACAACAGCTTTCCCGCGCGGGTCTCCACTTCCTGCTTCCCACAGGCCTGTGCGGCAGCGGCCATGACGGGTACTTACGGCCATGTAGGGCTTGCACCCCGCGTCGATCGTTTTAGCCACAGAGTCCACCAGGTAGCCACTGATTCCAAAATCGCACATCTTCACTTGGCCCAAAGCATTGATCAGTACATTAGAAGGTTTGACATCTGGAAGGGAGAACAGCCAGGAGTCCATCATCCTGACCTGCTTGGGGATTCGTTTCTCCACCACCAGAGGGCCCAGAAGCTCCATGCTCCATCTCCTTCCTCTCCCCATGGAGACTGCCATCCCTCACTCACTTCCTTACCTCTTACTGCTTTCAGTTTATTTTCTATTTTATGGGAAGCCTTCTTATACAACTGTGGACCCATCCATGGGAAGAACTGCTTTCTGCATTTATTTTATCATCTTCATTGCCTCCTTACATGAAGTAGGTACTTAAAAAATTGCCACTGAATCAAATGCTCAGTGAATTATGCAGGGTGAATAAATTTTAGAGACTTCCTGGACTACATTGCCCATGATGAGCTATACTGCACTGTACATTTAATCATCTAGAGGGTCCATCTCATGTGGAGTGTGCTGACAATTTTTTAGAAGCCCAGTGCATGATGATCTATCACATCCGTGTAGGAGGAAGAGAATGAGACGTGAGACTGTGACAGAAGATACACTAAATGCAATCAAAATGACTAATTTTGATTGAAGCCTCTGCAAGAGGTGTGTCAAGGGTCACTTGGTGGAATTCACTTAATTCCAGACCACCTGGCAGGTCACAAAACACCACCGAATGTGAATGAAGGGTATTAGTGAATATTTTTAAATGACTCTTTCAGATGGAAAGCTGCATGCTTTCCACACCACCTGCCAGAACCACTATCATCTCTGGATTATGGAATTAGAAATTACAGTTAAGTGTTTCCTTTGTGACACTTCTCACAAAGGATAAGTAATCTGAGAAAACAGTTATTCTAAAAACTTTTAAAGTTATCCTTTAAGTTTCCCTTAAACTAAACAGCAGATATATAAATTTCATTTTATTTTTATGCCTTATGTATATTTTCAAATATAAACAAATTCTTAAAAAATAACTTTTATCTTGTGGATAATACCTATTCTTCCTCCTATCTAGGTTCCTCCACAACTTTCTTCTCCTTCCTGTTTCCCAATTTTTGATAACAATGAACAACAACAACAACAATAGTCACACTGAGGCATTTTACATTATTTTCAATTTCAATTTCTGTAAATTTCAATCACAGAAAGTGTAAGAATTACCAAATCACAATGCCCTAGGAACTGTCAAAATTTTCCATTATTTTTCCTGAAGGTTGAGCATTTCGCTTCCAAGATATCTACTCTAGGCACCTATTGGTAATCACTGTCTTGTTTCATATTCTTCCTAGACTATTTCCATACTGGTACTTTCATATTTCTAACGTGGCTCCCTTTTTCATGTGTATGTTACATATTTGTCTATTGTCTGTATATTCCCTATCAAGAATATTTATCTTCTCAGATACCCTCAGGGCACATAGGATCGTATTGTATAAACACAGTGCTGCATAAATACTGGGACTGATTATAAAAGATAAATGGATGAGTAGACAGATGGGTACATGGATGTATGGATAGGTGAACGGAGGGATAGATGGATGGATGGAGAGATGCATGCATGGGTGGGTAGATGGATGAATGAATGGGTGGAGGAATGGATGGGTAGAGAGACGGATAGAAGAAAGGTGACAGAATGTATATGTGGGTGAGTGGATGGATAAAGAGAGTAGGGCGGAAGAAAAGAAAGAATGGAGAAGAATAACAGACAAATTACCAATTTGTTCACCTTATCATCCTGCCTCCTGCTGTCTGAAAGGACTGTGCTTTATACCAGAACCTTTTGCACTTTAATGTATACAGTGCACTTTAAAGTACCTAGGAAATTACTAAAATGCAGGTTCTGATTTTGTGACAGATTCATGTTTTGTGACACATGACCCTGATTTTCTAACAAGCCTCCAGTTGCTACTGAATATTAGAGAAATGTTGATCCTTCTCAAGCAGAATTATCAATGGGGAATCCCAAAATTTGGCTTGGTAACAGATATTTTATATTCAAAATGAATAATATAAAGGTCACATCTTTTTATGGCTTCAGAAAGCTAAAGCACAGCCATTTAATGATTTGCTATCCGGTCCCAAAGTAGTCCCTTTAGCTGTCTTATTTGGCTCAATTCTACTTCCATTCATTTAGGAGAGGGAGGAAGAACTCCAGCTAAAAGAAATGAATTTTATAAGAGAAACAGCCAACACAGCTCCACGGATGCTTACCTCGATGAATGACAGAGAGCTTACTGTGTAAATGTTCTAATGCTTTTACAATCTGCAAGAGAAACACAAGACAGATTTATTTCTCCCCATCACTGGAAAGAAATTGAATGTTAAGTATATCCACTATTTATTATGCCTGGCTTAAGGTCACAAGGTGAGGTATTTTCTCAAATAGCATTGGTCCTCTCCAGGAAATACGCAGAAATCACACAAATTGGACTCTGCCCAGCAGGGAGGACTCTATCTTATAGCAGAGAGGATGTCTCACTCATCTAGTGGGGTTTTTATTTGGCCTCCAGCATTGTTTTCTCTCTACTGTCCTGAGTCATTAAGAGAACAGCCCTTCTTTCCATTTACCTTCTGTTTCCTTCTATGCCTATTCAGCCTAAGAAAACATAAAAATCTGCAAAAAAAAAATCAAAATAAATGAATATCAGAGCATAGAAACCAGGAATGAGGTCATAGCAGATGTAGGTCTTGCTTGGAGGTATTTTAGAATTTACCATACCAAGTCAACTAGTGAAACTTTCTAAACTGTGCTCAGAAAGAAAAGCTCTCATTTATCCATCCACAGATGCACTTGCGCATTTGACATGTGCTGGATGGAAGTAGAGGTTCAGGAAGGGTTCTTTATACTGTGACCACAGACACATAAGGTCTAGGCTTCTCACATTCCCCTTGAGTAGGTTTGTGACATACTCACAGAAACTGCTATTTTCCCTAAGATGTCCTCTGGAATTGTTTGGCCTTTATCAATCACTTGTTTATAGAATTTATCTAGTGACGTATCCATGAGCTCCATGCAGATCCAGACATCACCCTGGAGACAGATCAGTTCAGAGATTATTAGAGAGGACAGAAAAAGAAAGAAGACACAGTTTGCACCTGTCAGGAAGAACTATTTCTTGCTTGAGTTTTTGGAGGAAATGTAGTTTCCCTTCTAGATCTTCGAGGAATTAAAAACTAGCAAGATTATCTCCAAAGAGCAAACTAGCAGACAGTCAAGCAGGACTTGAATGTGACCTCCTGTGCCTGAGACCTCAATGCCAATGACCACAAGATCCCAGAATTGGTCACTGCCCTCTCGGAGTCATGTCTGGATAAATATTCCATGTCTCACTTCCCACACTCACCACTGGCCCCAGTTAATCAAAGCCTGCTTTTAAGAGTGAGACGAAGCATCGAGATCCACTTAATGGCAGAGTGAGAAGCAGAGGTAGAGCAAAGAGGTCAACAGTATGCAAGGCTCGCTGCAATGTAGCAAGTGGCCAAAAGCCCAGAATATTTCCGATTTTGAGGACCCCCTACAAATCAGTCAATAGATGCTTGATATACACAGTTCTGCCAAAATAGACAAACCAATTCAGAAAGAAGGGAGCCTGAGAATCATTAAAAGGGTTAACTCCACTTGTAAAAGTCACCATTTCAAGGCAATTCTGCAGCAGGCTATGGCATCCCTGTAAGCATGCAGCTCTCTCAAGAAGACAGGCCAAACCAGAAAGCCCTCCTGTGGCAGTGATGGGATCACAGAAACTTCTTTTCAAGTTATTGCTCCCCTTGGACTTTGAGCTAAAGAATTACTTACCTCCCGGAAGAGTGCACCATAAAAGGTGACCGTGAAAGGACAGTCCACCGTCCTCATGGAAATATCCAAATCCATCAGTAGCCTTTTCTGCTCCTGGCTATTGACTGTGGCCCGGATCCGCTACATGGGAACAGGGGAGAAATGTATAGTTACTGCTCTGAAGATGAATCAGCTAGTTAAGCAGAGGCCAGGAAGAGTCCTGTCTTGAACACAATATACACATTCCCATCATAACTTCGAGCAAAACCTGTCACAAGTCTACCCTAAGTGATTAACTACTTGTAAAAATGAAGAACAAAGAAAACTGTTACCTATTGATTTCCCAAATAATTCCTGGTAAGAAACAAACTGATAATATCCCAAATGGTTGGAATATTTCTAAGAAACAAAAATGGTCTGGTTGACTGAGTTATGTCTGTTCATTGCAAAAAGGCCACAGTATTTTGTGGCTGATTTGGGGTCTTCCAAACCTCCCCCCCCAACAATATTCTCTTTGAGAACAAGAATATTTGGACTAAACAACTGTCAGAGTATCGATGTGCTATAGGGAATAGAAGGAATCAAACAGAAGTGGAGAAACTGCTCCTGGTGTTTCTAAGGGAAGAGAAAGCCATCACACCAGCATATATGATCTTAACATACATGGCTAGGTCAGCTGACTAGGTCATGTATGTTAACAGGAAGATATCATGTCACCAGGCTTTCATGCTTTTGACCTACTTTGCAGAGAGTCTGCAGAACAAACTGAAAAATCTACAAGGTAAGGAAAAGATAGTTCCCTTCTCCACAAGCAAAAGGACCCAGGCATCCGGGCACTCATAGTTCTAACAAATGCCCGGATGGATGAACTTATCCAGAAACGGTCATTGTCCAAGGTCCTGTGGCCTCTACTCAAGAAATACATAGTGATTCTAAATTTCCTGTCACAGCTGAAAAAACAATGCAAATGGAGATAATTTTCCCCCTCAACCCTGGTTTCCTGATTTTGGGGGACAATACCCTAAAACCAATGAGTAGACAATAACAGAAACTTTTGAGACACAACTTTTGCTTAAATTCAGATTTGAACAATCAAGAAGACAAAAAAAAATTAAAAAAAAAACAACTTTGAAATGATTGAGGCAATTTTAATTTGGACGGAGTATTAGATGATGAGGTAGAAGTATTGTAATTCCTTTAACAGCGGTGATGGCATTGTGGCTGCATAAAAAATTCAAAGAAGGGGCGGATGCCTCAGTTTCATTATCAGTAACTGATATAACTGGTACCAAGAAAGCATCTCCCACTTATTTATAGGGAAATGATTGTTCTCTGCCAATGATCTTTTGTTTCACCGCATAAAAGATTGCTTCATTTCCATCAAAAGGGCTGATTTGCAATTGACAAGATAGTCACACAGCACAGGTAAAAGTTTGGGGAATGTCAATACTACCTTCACTGCCATGATCTGCCCACTGGGCACATGCCGCATCTTCTCCACCACCCCATAGGCACCTCGCCCCAGTTCCACTATCGGCTCCAGATCATCTGCCTTCACCTCAAAATTCTATAAGAGAGAAATAAGAATCATGTCAGGAAAACAAAAACAGGCTGGATGTAGACCATCTTGTCCATTCTCTGTTTTTTCCCAACACACTAAGGGTTTTTTTCTGGTCTGGAAGCATCTGTTCTAGAGGCTTTTCCCAGCAGCCACTGAAAGCAAGAAGAGCAGGGAGATGTTTAGACTCCCACAACTTGCCACCTGCTGACAGGCAATACACAGATCCCACTCCAGCTCAGCTTCCAGATTGCTCAAAATCAGCTCTCTTCCCCCGATGTCTTTGTCCTCTTCATTGCAGGTGCAATCCATTTGCTAACTGATAAGCAGTTAGATCTGTATTTTAAGAAAAGCGTCCCAAAGAAAATCATCTATTCTCCTTAAATACCTTCCATCAGGACCACACAGCCTGACTTCAGTTCGACATTCAGAATAACAAGAACTGCACATATCACTTCTGTTTAAATTCAAACTTTTGGGATCCACCCCCTGACAACATGGTCCGGAAAATAAATGTTGCAATGCTTCATCCAAAAGCATGCATCTAAAAGGATCAAGATAGTCACTAGTAATATTTAGTAATATTTTTCTTACCTGATTTCCAATAGAAATGCAAGCTTTGGAGTCTAAGTCTCGAGGTGGCCTAGAGAGACAAAGAGGAGAAAAAGAAACCTGAGCTACTGCAGTAAACATATCCTTCTGAAATCATGCAACTGGAGAGATTTTTCCTGAGGAATAAAGCATATTCCAATGTTAATCGTATGGGATTTGGAATCAATATATTTGGGCTTAAAAAAAATCTATTTGAACGTCCATTTCTTCTTTCTCATGAGGTCTTTATATTGACCTCCAGTAGAGGTGAGAATTTAATAAGATATTCCAAGTAAAATGCTTATTAGCAGGATGTAGGGCACATGGTAATTATCCAACAAATAAAAGTCATGCAGGGCCTCTCTGGTGGTGCAAGGGGTTAAGTCTCAGCCCTATGAAGCTATCAGCAGCCACTGCAGCATGAGTTTGATCCCTCGTCTGCTGCTCCCTTCAGCAGTGTATTTCAGTAGATCCTCCTGTTCTGCTCCCTACTTTTTCTCTGGTAAATCGCTCACCTTCCCCATCTCTGGCCTACATCCTAGCCCTTGTACGCATAAATAAATAAAATAAATCTTAATAATAATAAATAAATAAGTCATGCATACTTTTATCTACCAGAAAACACCAAACTTTTTCTTTCATACAAGAATATCAATGTGCCCAAATAGCCTACTTTTTTCCCCTAATTGTTTTAAAAAGAGACATTGATTTGGCATAAGGTTATGCTAACTCACAAAATTCAGTGCCTCCTTGGGTAATGTCAGTCCCTTAGAGAAAGCTGTCTGACCGCGGTGTGCACCTAACTGGGAACCTGGGAATCCATTTTCTTGCAATAAATGCATCAAACGAATCACAAGAACAACAATAAATGCCAAAAAACATCTTGTTAACCCCATCAAACCAATAAAGTAAGCAGATGCTAAAGACAAAAGAATCCTGGTGTTACCACAACAAGGTGACCAGAGAGGGAGCAAGCAGGGCCTCCCCACAGGACAGTCCCTGCCAGAATTGTTCCAGAAAGATACAAGGAAAATGAAAGGAAGGAGAGATAAAAAAAGGATCCTTGGCCAATGGCAATTTTTCCCAAACCTGATGTATTGTGTCCTTCTACGCCATCTGCTGAAACTAAACAAGAAAAAAAGTAGGAAAATAAATACAGATATAAACATGAGTCGATTAAGATTGTAAAAGTAAGTCCTCCCTCACCTCAAAATCCCCCTGGTATGCATGGAATACAGAAAGGTTTTTCCAAATACTAATTTAAAGCCTGGGACTAGGAGAGAGGAAAAGGATACACACCACACACACACATACACACACACACATAAACACACATTCTAACCCTAAACACACCACAAACACACCCCCCACATACCACACACACCTCCCTCACCCCACACACTATAAACACACACACCACACACAAACTCTATAAATACCACACACCACACACATAAACACACATTCTAACCCTACACACTCCACAAATACAGCCCCCACACATGCCACACAAAAATACCACACACACACTCCCCACAAATACCACACACACCACTCCACTCATACCCCACAAAAATACCACATACACTATACCACACACACTCCACACAAATACCACACACACCCAACACACATAAACATACACTATAACCCTACACTTAACACAAACGCACCCCCTCTGCACATACCACACACCTCTCCATACACCCCCACACACCACCCTACACATACCCCACACATACACAACAAATACTACACAACACATACACACCCCATACCACACATATAAACACAAAGCCCAATCCTATACACACCATAAACACACCACCCACCACACACAGCAGTGATTTTTCATGTGTCTTGCATTTCTGAGAGGGGAATTTTTCTTCAGAAAAGTGTCCCTGAAAAACACAAACTTCTAAAACTCTGATTTCTCATTCTTAAAATTCCCAAAGCTGTTTTTCTTTAGTTGTCACAATTTGTTTGTACAAATTGCACCAGAACTTTGAAATAAAAGCAAGTATCACTTCAAATGTGAATAATTCTTTACAACTGTTCAGCAGCTTTCCTTTTAAAAACTATGAACCAATGACAAGGTCACAAATTATTGGTGCCATCTCCACCTACCTGCGTCCAACAAGGATTTGGGGCCAGGGCTGATAGTTTCATAGTTTATGAATTACAGAGTGCTACGAATTACAGCCTGTGGCCCAGCTAAGGAAGAGTTTCACAGGTGTAAGGGATTGTGAGAAAACAGACAACAAAGAACATCCATCAGAGATTGTCTATGAACTGGGCAGCCTAGACTATCACCTAACTGGCCTTTGACAAAAAAAGTTGACTTACTTCAGTTTTATACTCCTTCATCTAATAGAATGGTTTCATGCCATTCTTGGACTGAGAAAAATGAAAACCAGAAAATCTCAGTGATTGCTGGGGACATACAGTCCTCAACAGAGCTGAAAATAAAACCCACATCCCCTGAATGTTAGTCTTGATCTAAGGAAGAAAGGATATGAGCTAAAAACCGTGCTACGTGTTTTTACCTGCATCTCATTTAATTCTTTCAACACACACACACACACACACACACACACACACCATACACATCTATGTGTATCATTATCCCCAGAGTAGAAACTGCTTGGTTCAGTGTTTAACTAACTTGTCTCCAGGTGGCGAACCATAGTCCCAATCCAAAGTCTGACTGAATCCTAGGAACCTGCCTCCGACACCCAGGCCTTCTCTAATGAAAATGATCTAGCCACCCAAGCCTCAAGCCTTCGGGCTCCTCCAGGCTGCCAAGAGCATCAAAAGATGGAGCCAAAGCCGACAGCTCATGTTGGGTTAGCTGACACTGTGTCCTGCTCAAGGCTGGGCATATTATCAATAGTTTGCCCGGAGTACAGAGTCTCTGCAGGAGGTTTATACAGTGGGTGGATGTTCTCTGTCGCTTATTCAATGTTTTAGTCCAATGAGGAATGAACCAAACTTATTACAAAACAAGTTTCACCTTCCCTGGAAGGTCAAAGGTATTTCAAAGGTCACCTGGTAATAGGTTTTGTTTTTTTTTTTTTTTTAAATGAACAACCAGTTTTGGTTTATTATAATGTTGACTTGCAATTCTACATGAGCAATCAATTTATTCTGTTACTAAAATGGCCTATTCAACAGTATTTATTAAGCATCTTCTTGGGCCAGAGTCTGTGCCAGACCCTTTATTGTCTGTAGTTTTCTTAAGTCTTAGAAGTATCATTATCTCCACTTTATTTTATATTTCTCTCTCCAAATTTACTTATTTATTTTCTTACATAGTTTATTGTTCATTTTTGAACAGCATTTGACTTCTCCCCTCGGGTGTAGCCTCCACAGTTCTCCCACCACCATAGCACCCGTGATCCATCACTACATTCCCTGAGCTCCTCCCTCCCCTGTTTTGGCCCCTCTTCTCCCCCTCCCCTGCTGGATACCTCAGATCTACTGTCAGCTTGCAAGTTTCGTGTTCCGTTTCTGTATATGTCACATACAAGAGAAACCATAGGATATTTATCTTTTTCCTTCTGACTTATTTCGCTTAGCATAAACCCTCCCAGCTCCATCCATGTTGCCGCAAATGGCATGAGTTTATCCTTTTTTTTTAAGATTTATTTATATATGCACATAATAGCTGGGGTGCAGGCCAGAGATACAGGAGGTGAGAGGATTCAGCAGAGACAGAGTGGGGAGCAGAACAGGCAGATCTACTGAAATACACTGCTGAGGGGAGCAGCCGCAGACAGGAGAGGTCTGTTGTGCCCTATGGGTCACCTCCCTGACCAGGAATAGAACTCATGATGCAGTGGCTGTGGATAGCTTCATAATGCTGCACTTTTATCCCTTGTGCCACCAGGGAGGTCCCATGAGTTTATCCTTTCAGATTGCTGAGATTATCTCCATCTTAAAATGAAAAGTTGACATTGAACATATTAGACCATTTAATATATTACATCATTCAAAGAGACAGCGAGATTAGAATCCGGACCTCACCACAATGTCTTCTCAACTGCAGGAGTGAAAGGTCTGGCCTCTCATTTCACAAGCTGTAGCTGGTGGGCACAGTCTCTGTTGGTCTAAAGTGTGGCCAAGAGCACATACTTGAGAGTCAGAGGGTCCTGAGCTTGGATGCCAGCTCTTCCCATTCGAAGCTTGGCAGTTCTAACAACACTCAGAACTGCCTTCCCTGAGAAACCACAATGGAGCAGGCAGGAGGCTGGATACTTACTATGGATTCTCCCATCTAATCACATGGCAACTATATTGTTGTTTATTCCTGTTTTTCAAAGGGGAAACTGTTACAGGGCAGGGAGAGGGGCACCCCAGAGCCCCCAAACCTGCCTGCTCTAAATAGGTTCTGCCATCCTCCACATCAAGACAAAACATATAGACCTTTAATGGGAAAGAACTTTAATATTATTAGTGTGCAATACAGAAAAAACAAAGAATATAGTTTTTAAATCAAGCACCCATAGTTACCCACCCTCTTGTGGGTAAAAGTCCACCCAAACGGGATTGGCCCAGAGCAAGGCCCGAAAGCAGCCACAAGTCTCAAGCACCTTCCAGCGGGGACCCATAGAAAAGGGTCAGAAACACACAAGTCTGGGAGGAAAAGAGCAAAATCAAAACCAGAATCAAAGCTGCCATTGTCACCTCCCCATGGGTCTCTCACCCACATCTGTGTCACCCAGCCCAGGACCAAGAAGCCAGCACAGTTTCTTCACGTCTCTGCTCCACGTGCCTCCTCTAGGTCTCCTCCTGCTCTCCATCCGGCTTTCTTCCTGCCCCAGTCTCATCTCCAGCTTCTTCTCTGCTCAGCTCCACCCTCCCTTGGGTAAAGCAGGGAACCTGGAACCTCCCATTTCCTTGGGGACCACCCTCTTACAAAACGAGGGCTTAGAGGGGTTAGGAAACTTGCCTAAAGCATGCAACTGGTGGAGTTTAGAACCCAAATAGAAACCCACGTATTCTAACTCATGCCTGAACCCTCACCCATGAAGCACTCCTGGGTAGGTTTGTTTTCTCACTTTTAAAGGGAGAATAGTAATTGCCTGTTGAGTTTCTTGGGAGAATTAAATGTAATAAAATTGATGAGCATAGAATTGGTTTTGAATTAGTTACTGCTAAGCAAGTGGGGCACAGTTCAGAGACCCCGGTCCAAGGGGCCTCCCTGGTGGCCTAGGGATTAAGTCTCAGCGTTATTACCTCTATGGCCTGAGTTCGATCCCTGGCCAGGGAGCTGCCCACATGGTGCAGCAGACCTCTCCTGTCTCGCCCGCTGCTCCCCTCAGCAGTGTATTTCAGTACATCTGCCTGTTCTGCTCCCCACTCTGTCTCTGGTGAATCCTCTCACCACCCCCACCTCTGGCCTACACCCCAGTTCTTCTGCACAAAAAAAAAAAAACCAGCAGTAAAATAAAAATGCATAGAAAAAAAGGAACCCAGCTCCAAGAGACACTGGCATCAGTTACTCAACCAAAGAGCTCAGAAAGAGGAACCACACACATGAAAGAAGGAGATGGAGTCTACCCCAGGCTATTTGTTTTTGTGTGGACAGCAAAGGGGGCAGGGTAAAAATGGTAAGAGTCACCAAGCCAACACCAAAAATTTGCCAAGAAAAATTCAAACGGGAAGCTTCTTCTTTAGGAGAACAAATTTGAGCCTCAGTATTAAAATAATAATAACAAGTCACTCCATGAGCTAACCTGGTATCGTCTACAATAATAAAGTGCTACTCTCAGCTTTACACAGTGAAAGAGAAAAGCAGACTCAAAGTTTATTCTGTTCTATGAAGGAAAGATAACACAGAAGCTAATTTTATGATTACACTGGGTTTTATTCCTTTATTTATCCTAAGGAAGGATTTAAAATTTGTAAAACACAGACAATTAATACAAGTTAGAAGCTGAAAAATGAAGTTTTTGAGGGAAGGACTAAATGTAAGATAGTTGGGACATTGATATAAGAAAATGTTCCAGAGGAAACAATAAACAGCACTAATGAAAGAAGTGAAAGAAAAACTCAAAATTTGCAGAAATCCTCCTTGTTCATGGTTTTGAAAACTCAATGTAGAAATAAGTCAGTTGTCCCTAAATGGATCAGCAAGTTAGACATAATTCCTACCAAAACCTCAACAAGCTGATTTGTGGACATAGACTAGCTTATTCCAAAACTTACATGAAAAAAGAAAAAAACAGAAGAGCCAAAGTCATTTTGAAAAAGAACAAAGATGGAAGGATCATTTTGCTCAGTGTTAGGCCTACTGTACAGTGGTCATAATCTAGAAGAGTGACACTGGCAGAGGGTGAGACACCTATCAGTGGAACAGAACAGAGGACCCAGAAATGGATCCAAACAATTAATATTTAACAAAGAAGTAAAGGCAAAGATGAGCAATAAGGCTTTTCAACAACTGCTGCTGGAGCAACTGGAAATGCAGTGGCAATAAATAAATAAATAAATAAAGTTCCACATAAACCCTACACCTTGTACAAAAATGAAGCTCAAAATATACTAAGGACTTAAATCTAAAATGTAAACCTATAGAACTTCTAGGAGAAAATCTTTAGGACACTGAACTAGATTCTTAAACTTGTCACAAAAGCATGACCCACAAGAGAAAAAATTGCTAGATTCAATTGGTCAAAACAGATGAAAAAACAAGGGTGGCCCTTTTGCAGAAAGAAAATATTTTTCCATCACATATTCGGCAAACTCCTAGAATATATAAAGAACTCTCAAACCTCCACATTAAAAAAAAACAATCTAATTAGTAAGCAGGCAAAGACATGCAATAGGCATTTCACCATGAAAGATATATGGCTGGAAGCAAAGAACCACGAGTGCTCAACTCCATGAGCCACTACAGAAATTAAAATTAAAACTACTATGATATTATAACTACACATCTGTCAGAGTGGCTAAAATGAAATAAGTATAGTGGTAATGTTGGCAGGAATGCAAAGACACTGGATCATTTCTACATCGGCTGTGAAAATGAAAATGGTACAATCACTCTGGAGAATACTTTGGCTGTTCTTTCAAAACTGTGAACTTGCCATGTGACCCAGCAATTGCACTAGTGGGCAGAAATCCCAGAGAAATGAAGCCTTGTTTTCAGACAGGAACTTATACATAAATGTTCATAGTCATTTTTTCATAATAATGCCTACTGGAAACTACCCATATCTTCTGCAAAGCTTAAGACTTAAAAAAAGTGATAGAGACATACCATAGATGGTAATCAGCAGTAACAAGGAACGAACTCTATTAACACAGGCAACAACTTGAATGAGTCTTAAGGAAATTATGCCAAATGAAAAAAAAATTCTCAAAAAGGAAATGCATGACTTCATTTGAATAATAATCATAAAATAGCAAAATGAAGATGAAGAATAGATTTGTTCTAGGAATTAGGGACAACAGGAACAGGAGTTAAAAGGGAGGTGGGGCTATATGGGAATAACTCCAAAGAGTCTTACAGTGTCGACACAGTTGAGTATCTTAATTATGGTATTGGTTATATAAGGCTACACATAGGCTAAAACTGAGCACTCGCGTGTGCACACACACAACCCACTTCTTCCTCCTGCAGATCCTCCCGAAAGAAATAGTCTCCTCTGAGTTTTCCCCTTGAACTACAGTACAGAATTCTGAAGCGTGTCCTCTTCTCTGCTCCGTAGTTATTTTGGTAAGTGGTTATATTGCTGCAGGAAACACAATGGCCACTGATCTCAGCAAAGAACTACCTGACAAGATCATGGTCGCCAGCTCGTTCCAACACCAGGTGGCGTACATTTCGACCTGATGATCACACTTAAGGACAAAACCTTTACCAAGGGAGGCCCTTTTGCAGAAGTGAGCACAACTCTTAAAAACTCAGGCTCGCATTGTGATAGCTTCCTTTTCTTTTCTCTACATCCCTAGCCCCTCCATTGTGCTTTGTTCCCTTGGAATGCCCATTGTTACCAAGCAGATGCTTTGAGAAGTGGTCACAGTTTGATGGGAAGGCCTGGTGCACGATCCCCTCCCCCCATGAGAGGGAAGCTCAGGAGGAGGGAATCCTGCCTCACTAGGACTCCTGGGATTTGGGCCAAAGTGTGAACTAAGAAAAAGGGGGTTTCTCTACTCATTTTGTCTTCTGTTTCTATGGGCCAGGACTTAGATGCTGAGTCCTTAACAAATACCATCTTTCCATTTCAACCCAAGTTTTACAGTAGGAGCTTTCACGGGGATTTGCTTGTTTCCTCAAATCTATGTGGGAAAGGAAGCAAAGTCCACATTCAGGAGTCTTCCTGGCCTTACAGAGGACACCATCTGCCAAGTGCATTTGTGAAACCCAGTTAGCTAACCACAGTGAGAGACCCTGAATTTGGAGCCACCCCACTCTGAATTGGCAGAGCGAATGTGGTGATCTCAGGATTCAGAACAATGAGCAAATGACTTTCTGCGTTCAAGGTAACACTATTTCCAAAGTCAAGGTATTTCATCCTAAAATGAATCCCCATTCCCTGAAAATCTGGAATGTGAAAGTGTTTGGATTAAGAGGATGATCTTGCCGACTTACGTGGAACTGGTCTGAGGTTGCTCAAATGCTTCTTTTGGAATTTTAAGGCCAGGGTTTCGCTTCTTGCCTGTGGGGAAGACATAAGAATAAAGGTAAGGGCCTAAAGCACTCAGGAGAGCAGGGGCAGAGGTCACAGCAGATGACAAAGGGCAACAGGTGTGCATAACACTCCTCTCCCCATTCAGAGCTCCACTTCCTACCTGGAATTCTGAGAGAACAAGTACCCAAGCACTAAGCTTCCCAAGTGTAGGCTGTGGTCCCAGGTGAAGTTTCTGACCATTTGAGACTGAAACTGTCACTCTATGAATTCCAGCGCTCCACCTGGGAGACTGACCCTCCTCCTCTCTGCTGAAAGTGTCTTTCCAACTTCTTTGTTCTCGCGTGTGCCCTGGCATGATGGGGTGGATGGTGCTGGTGATAGCTTACTCCTTTTTAATGTCAGTCAAAATGTAGTCACCCCCATCTCAGTACCCAACAATTTTTTTTTATACAAGCACTGGGTACAGTCAGAAGCGCAGGAGGGTGAGAGAACTCACCAGAGCTAGAGCGGGGTACAGAACAGGCAGACTGACGAAATACACTGCTGAGGGGAGCAGCGGGCGCAGCAGGAGAGGTCTGCGCACCATGTGGGACCCTCCCCAGCAGCTGGGGATCCAACCAGTGCTGCAGAGGCTGCGGGCAGCTTCCTAGCCCAGTGCTCAACTGCTGCACCACCAAAGGAGGCCCCCCACAATTTTTAAACTCATCTGTGAATAACCGATAGAGTTAACCGTGCAGATTGGAAACAAAGGACTTTCTCACTGTTCTTCCTTGTCCATTCTCAACCACCTGCCATCAGCTGAAAGACCTAAGAGAGGGATAGAGTGATAGCTAACTGTATGCACCCTGTTTTAAGGAGTGGGATAACAGGTGGGCTGGTGCAAGGAGGTTACGCTTTTGAGGGGGGGTAGATGGACATATAACTGGCAGGAGCACCCCTGACACAAGAGAGAGCATGTCTCAGACACTGTGGTTGATAAGTGTGGAGAAGAACAGACTGAGATATGCCAGCTAAGAAGCAACCAGAGCAAACAGTCTTGTAAGGGCTCAGGATTTAGCTCATCTAAGGAGATCCCTTACCCCTTCATGCTGGGCAGGGAAGCCAAGGCAGAGCTGGATAAAAGGACTGTGTCAGCTCTTCTCTACATTGTAGGAGAATCCAACAGAGCTAACACAGGCCCTGGGCAAGATTCTGGATAGAGATTCTGAAGCTGCAAAGCACCATAAGAAATCAGCTATTATAACATACATAGAGGAGAATGGCCTACACGTGACATTGGGATTGCTCAGACCTAGAAGCTACCCAGGGAGGAGGGTCCAGTGCTCCTAACACTCAGCTCAGAGCCTTCTCCATAAGCGGGGAGCTTGAGAGATGACCAGAGGGAATGGTGTGGGCAAGAAAGGGATATTGTGTTTTTGAAAAACCAGCTTCTACCTGGCTTCTTCACTCACCAAGTGAATTCCAGAGTCACCTTTCCCCTGACATCTGATATCCTCAGTTGTAAAATGGAGAAGGACCATCCATAGCCAAGAGGAGAATGATGAGATAGCATAGGAAAGAGCACCCCTGGGCCCTGAATAGCTGCCAGTCATGATTCTTTAGAGAAACAATCTGTACTGTCTCATTTCAAAAAAAAAAAGCCACTGAAGATATTCATGCACAGTTGGCCATGCACAGAACTGGCTATATTATCACAACCCAATAATGTATAATTGAGACGTCTCCCTAGATGCTTTAAAAATCCAAAATCTAGAACAATTCTACCACATGGTATAAAGGCAGGGAAAAAAACATGTTTGGTAGGAATCCACAGAAAGCCTTTTATGACCATCTTCATCATATCAGGTCTTCCCAATTTTATTTGCATTTGGGCTTTCGACACATTTTGTAAGATTCAAAACTCATATTTCCTTTCTCACTCCCAGAGCTCAGAGGGCCATGTAGCACATGATTTACTCACTGATTTACTAAGTGAGTCAGTTCTTAGCAATACAAAGACTTGGGCTTCCCTGGTGGCCTAGGGGTTAAGTCTCAGCGCTATTACCGCTAGGCCCTAAGTTCGATCCCTGGCCAGGGAGCTAAACCACATAAGGCGGGGAAGACCTTTCTTGTCTTGCCTGCTTCTCCCCTTAGCAGTGTACTTCAGTAAATCAAGTTGTTCTGCTCCCAGCTCTGTCTCTGGTGAATCCTCTCATCTCCTCCCCACACCTCTGGCCTACACCCCAGTTCTATGCACCAAAAAAAATAAACAACAACAACAAAGAGTTGTACAAGGCACCAGAAGCTAAGCCAAGTGCTGGATCTGATTCTAAGAAACCAAAGAGATACCCAGCCTAATTCCAAGCAATTCCCACACATGGGTCTCACGCAAATAGCTTCACCTGGTATTTTTATTAAGATTTATTTTTTATTTATTTATGCACACAAGAACTGGGGTGTAGGCCAGAGGTGCGGGGGGTGAGAGGATTCACCAGAGACAGAGTGGGGAGCCGAACAGGCGGATATACTGAGATACACTGCTGAGGGGAGCAGCGGGGAGACAGGAGAGGTCAGCTCCCTGGCTGGGGATCGAACTCATGCTGCAGTGGTTGCCAAAAGCTTGATTGTGCTGCAACTTAACCTCTTGAGCCACCAGGGAGGCACTTCACATGGTATTTTAAGTGAAATACTCTCATGAGAAAGAATGACAAATCCAGCTTCTCCAAACAACTTCATACAGATTCCAGTACAGGTGGCAGGTAACTCAGGTAATCCCAACAGACACAACTCCACAGCTCTCTCAGCTAAAGCAAAACTAAGCACAAGTAAAATGTATTTTACTGAAAAGGATGCCAATGACCATGTCAGCAAATCAAAAGCAAAATGTGACTTGTCAATTCTTCTCTTTTATCGTCATTTCTAACTCAGCTCTTACAGGATAGAGGTAAAGAGAAACAGCTATTTGTGGAGAAAATCTCCTTCAGAAAACATTAATATAACAATGAATTATTACACCAAAGCAATTAATCATTAGCTATTCATTAATAGCAATTCACTAATATACTATAACTCAAATATAAGCCATCAGAATTCTACACAAGGAAACAGAGAAAGAGAAGACTTTAATTTCAGAAATTAAAGGGGGAAGTGACTGAAACAAGTCTTTGAGGTCTGAGAAGAGCCGGATTCTCTTCTGACAACAGCAAAAAATAGTTCCAAGACGCAAAACCTAATTATATTGCGCAAATATAATTTTTTAAAGTAGATCAAATGAAGCAAAAATCACACACACACACACACACACACACACACGCTCCATAATTCACTTACTTGCCCACCACTGACAGAACTCAACGGAAGACAGACCCTGGAGAGGTCTGCAAAGCTGCCAGGAGGGTCAGTGGAAGCAAACATTCTTTCTTGAGCGCCGAAGCCCACACTTCAGCAAAGAGACACAGAAAGGAACAGACTCCACCCCCAAGTCAAGTATGGGGTTGGTGGCAGCAAACCTCAGCGAGTCCATTGTTCCCGAGAGAGGAGAGAGGGCAACTCCAGGCAGGCAGAAGGGAACTGGATCCTTTGGACACTCAGGCATACCATTAATCATTAACCAGACTCGGAGGAGTAAATCTATAAAGCAATTCAGGCCAGCACAGCATTCTCCAGCCTTCCTATAAATGCCTCTTTCATGTCTTAAAAGAAAGAAAAACAATATATGGTCACTTTCCAGCTGTGTTTACTTCAAAGCAATCTGTCCCCCCTAGCAAAACTGCCAACACCCGACACCAACATTTAACACTGTGTTAAAAAAAAAAAAAATTAGTGAGAGGGAGCAACATGATTAATAAGGGTAAGTGGCCCTCCACGCTAAGCGGTCTTTCCCTTGATATTCCAAAGCAAAAATGAAAATCATAGCAGAAAAATAAGCTCTGGGTTATGCCATAGACTAGTGGCAGGCCTCTCAGAGGGAGAGAATTCTGTATCTTTCTGCGGATCTCCCCAAGCTTCACCTCTTCTCCGTGCATTCTGCAGAGTGGAAGCCCCGGTGAGCCCCCGGAATTGCATCAGCCCCTGCCTGTTTTCTCTGAAAACACCTCGACCCACCACACACATATATTTGCAAAATTCACCATAAACCAAAGCTGGGTCATTACGATCCCGGCCCCGAGCAAAATGGCACTGGAAAGAAAAAAACAACAAAACACCAAACTCTGCCAAGAGTCGAAGACATTTACCAGGCCACAGAAATGTTCACCAGCTTTGCAGCGAAAATGAGGGGGTGTGTAGACCTCTTCACGGCACCCACTTACAGAGGCTAAGCACAAAGGCTTTCTCTCATGTGCCTTATTATATAAAACAGAAGACCCGGTGCCAACTCAAACAGCTCGAGAATCCTGCAGGGTCAACAGGAGGCATCACATTGTATTATGCCGAAGCCTAAATATTTGTCAGCTTGGCCGAGGGCTGTGGGGCACGAATTGGAGGCTTTCTGATTATTGACACGGCTTTACAAAAGGATGGCATTGCTTCCAGTGCCAGGATTATTTTAAAAATCACTTTCCCGGTGTGAATGGGATTTCCAGCCAAGTAACTGACAGCCGGCAGGCCTCGCTGCTCTCCGGCTACATGCCCCTGGGCTCGCCTTCCAATGGGAGCTGCATGCGGGTGGCACAGGAGTGTCATTAAATGTTCTTAAATTGCAATGATCACCTGGAAAACAACCCACAGGGCCAGGTAGAGGGAAGGGGAAGCAGGGAGCAGGTTGACTTTCTCATAGTGGACACAGATGCTTTTGCTCACCCACCACTGAGATGCCAACACTCTGGAATTGCATGAAATTGAGAGAAGAAAGCAACAACATTCATGTGAAAATGTGAGGTCATTTTGGTTTCAAGGAGGCAGAAGAATCTCCTGGGACCTTGTGTTTCTCTACGTGTTCTCCCTGCTGCGAGTGCAGCCCTCTCGTGGACAGGAACTCAGCTCCAATTCAGCTCATTATCATGCCCCCAGAGGGCCTCTCCAGACCTTCCTGAGCCCCTTTAGGCTAA